TCTCCATTGCAGTAGCTTCTTACAGCTTTCTGCTGTGCTGAACAAGCACTAGGAGCCAGGGGTCTTGCCGGGGGCAAGGAGAAGGGGGAGTCACATTATTTAAACTTTCTAAACCTCACTTGCCTTAACTGCTGGGGGAGCCAATAATGCTACCTCACTTGGTTCTTGTGAGAGATGATGGATATGTGGTTTAAATTTGGCCTGGATCCTCAAAGACCCTGCAAACCTAAGGCACTTTTGATTGAATTCATCTCATCAGACTCTTCCCAAGTGGGTTCCTGGAGCTGTTTCAGTCATTTTTTGCACTTATAGCTGTATAGCCTAGTCCTGGTCTTCCTCAAGAAAGCCCAGAGATTGATTCTGACAAACTAACAGTTCTTCCCAGGAATGTGTGTTTATTTCCCCCCTCCTTCCTCTTCTCTAATCTCCTAGGGCAGGTGACAGTCTCTGAGGACCAGGTTTGTACAAAGAGACAAATCCTAACAAGCCATGAATCCAATCTTGGGCAAGCTGCTACCCTTTTCTGGGCCATCTTGCAGACAGCTGGCATTTTTCTGCCCTCAGGATAAGCTCTCTGCAGTCCATTGAGTGCCACAAGGACCTTGTATCCTTCTTTGCCATATAACTTCACTATGTGGTTGGAAATCAGTGGAAGAGGTTAAATCTGAGGCTGCCACAGACCTGCCTAGAAGGTAGAATGAGGCTTGGGCTGCAGGAGCTTTTGCTAGACGGGCTGTGGTGCAGGTCTGTGCCTCCTCTAGGGTTTACTTTCCCTTATACTTCAAGCGCTTCACAAAGTGCTCCTGCTACGGCTAGGGATTGCTTGGGCAGGGGCTCAGAACCCAAAACAGCTGACCGTTCAAGAAATTCATGGAGGTAAAGGGCCTGGAGTAGTCATCTCCCCCACCTGCTGTGGCCCAGGACATCCCCTTGGCCGTCACCATCCCTCACAAACATTTCACTGTCTTTGTGGACTACTTACTGATAAGTATAGTTCTATTTCAAAAGAGAAATATTTTTAAGTTTCAATCTTAAGGCACAAAGAATAAACTATAAAATTTTAGTAGGATTGCATAAATAATTGCCTCTCTTTCTGAACTCTAGCAGTGGTTTTACCTTTCTCATTGCCATTACCATTTTACATTGTTACAATCAGTTGTGACAGGTGTTAATTCTTTGAGTGCTAGTAAGTGGTGGAGCTGTGATTCTAACCCCAGAACTCTGACTTCAGACCTATGTTCCTAACCACCATATACTGTCCTGTCTCTCTGTAGTCTCTTAAGGTCGCTGAGGGCCCCTATCTGATCTTCACTGCCCTTTAGCCCTCAGTGGTGCCTTGTGCAAATCCTTCAGGCAAGGCCTGGCCCAGAAGAGGTGCTCAACAAATGTTAGGGTTTGCAAATAACACCCATCCCTTTATTCATGTCTTGATCAACCTCAGGATTTAAATCCCATCTCCCTGATTATCCCCTGAATCCCTTGTCCTACCTACGAAGTATTTTTTTCTTCCTTTACAACATCAACTCTATTGACATCAGGGGAGAGACCTCTATTACATTTCAGAGAAATCTCTTCTTTCTCTCTCTTCTCCCTTTTTAGAGACAGAGTCTCACTATGTTGCCCAGGCAGGTCTGGAACTCCTGGTCTCAAGAGATCCTCCCTCTTTGGTCTCTGATAGTGCTGGGATTAAATCTCACATTTATAATGATGTTCACTTTTGTTCCTCTCCAGAGTGATCTTTTAGGAAAAATGAATCTGATCCTGTTATCTCTTAGATTAAAACCAGTAGCTTGGCCGGGCGCTGTGGCTCACGCCTGTAATCCTAGCTCTTGGGAGGCCGAGGCGGGCGGATTGCTCAAGGTCAGGAGTTCAAAACCAGCCTGAGCAAGAGCGAGACCCCGTCTCTACTATAAATAGAAAGAAATTAATTGGCCAACTGATATATATATTAAAAAAATTAGCCGGGCATGGTGGCGCATGCCTGTAGTCCCAGCTACGTGGGAGGCTGAGGCAGGAGGATTGCTTGAGCCCAGGAGTTTGAGGTTGCTGTGAGCTAGGCTGACGCCACGGCACTCACTCTAGCCTGGATAACAAAGCGAGACTCTGTCTCAAAAAAAAAACAAACAAAAAAAACCCAGTAGCTTCTAGTTACTCAAAGGGTAAAAATGAATTCCTCCATCCTTTACAAGGCTTTCCATGAACTGTGCCTATCACTTACATCTTCAGATTTCTTTTGCACAGCTTTTCTCCTGCCACAGAGCTACCTTTCTGGTTCCTAGTGGGTGTCATATCCATCCTGATCATGGACCTTCACATGTGTTCCCTCCTCCACTTGGAATAACCGCCTCCCCACCCCTGTTAATCACTGTTGTATGTTTCACAGCCCCTGTACTTGTCCAACTCCGTAGTACTTATCACAAATGTAATTAAGGTTTGCTTCTCTACCAGGCACCACAGGTTTCATGCATCACCATGTCCCCACATCCTGGCTCATCGTAGGTATTCAAATAGCTGATAAATGAATTTAGGAGCTTTTAGCATTGGGAGGCTTCATGCGACTCTGAAATGGTCTATAATGGTCTTGGTGAATAAAAGGAGTTTTGTGCCCACAACATGCAATTTCTCATTGCATGAAGGCGAGGTTTAGAAATAAATACATTTGTTTCTACTCAATAGTCCTCTTTCATTGGCTGAAAACAAACCCTTTCCAGTGTTTATCTACCTTGGAAGGGTGAAAGGATTTTTTCTTTTATACAATTATGAAAGGCTTTTTCTCCTCATATAAGAAACTTATTTCACTATTAAATTATGCTGTCCGATACAGTAGCCACTAGCCAAATGTGGCTAAATTATAATTAAGTTAAAAAAATTCAGTTTCTTGGATGTATTAGCCATATTCCAAGTACTTGATAGCCACCTGTGGCCAGTAGCTACAAATTGGAGAACACAGATAAAGAACACTTCCATCACTGCCAAAGTTTTATTGGGCAGCGTTGACATAGAACTATCTTGCAGAATCAATCTAATTTTTTTGTTCTGCCAATGAAATAGAAATGAGATACATTAAAAACTATGTTAAATTGTTCAAAACCTAGCACAGATGACCACCAGAGATTCTGGTGAACCAGCAACCCTGCACATACTTATTTCTTGCCTCTTCCAGTGGCTTGCAAATCAATCACAAGGAAATCCCAGTGGCTTTGCCTTATTTTCCCTTTTATAAAACAGGGACAGCCCAGCCTCTCTGGAGAATATTGAGCCTTGTGTATTTTACCTCTGGTTGGAATGTGTGCATGGACAGGTTAACCTCTGTAGATTGTCATATCTCATCCCCTCAAAAAATACGGGAAAATTTTTGCTTTACCTCTCAGGATTAAGGATAAAATATGTGGGGAAAGTAAGTACTATATAACTGTAGGTAAAATTTCACATGTAGTCAGAATTTACATGTCATTGTTTACAATAAAGCTTAAGTAAGGTTGAGTCTATTGTTAAATGTGCTTTATAAGGATCTAAACAATGATAAAATGTCCATAAATCTTTTTAAAAATTCTAGCAGACATACTTTACTGCAAAATGCTGTCACTGCTAATCAGTAATACCTTATCTGCTTTTCTGCTCAAAATACTATGATACTTCCCTTTGAGCAAAAGTCTAATCCTAGCAGAATATTAACACCTTGGGAAGAGAGACCTCTTTCAATAGCTCATAAATGAATTTAAATGAATATTTTTTAAAAATTAAAAAAGGAGGAATATTGGGGAAGGGAGCTAATCAAGCAAAAATGTACATTTTTTATACTTGTCAGAAAACTATTAAGTCAAATTGAATCAACCTGATAGGCCCCTGGAGCTATTCTACCTCAGCCTTTTTCTGATGGAGGGCTTACTTTTATCACTACTAATCTGGGTTTGTGAGCCTTTAAACTTTTCTCTAAATAACTAGCAGCTCTAATTTAGAGAAAACGAGTCTGACTACCAGATGTAGCATATTTAGCAGTGTCTCAGGATTCTGGCTAATTTCTCACCACCTATTACTGAAGCCATATTATTACCTCACTAAATCTTTCCTTCTCCACCTAAATTTCAGACATGCATTTATTTGAATTTTGTAGCCTGATCACAATTGGGAAAGAATCAGAAAATACCAGTTATAAATAACAGTCACACAAACATAAAAAAATACTCAAGTGTTAGAAACGTTTATTTGTCAAAAAAAAATTTTAAAAAAGTGGGAGGAGTGGAGTAAAACAAGGCTAAATTTCAGCTAATGCTGTACCACGATCACAGGTCAGACATAAAAGAAAACAAACAAAACAACAACAACAAAACCCCCAATGGTCCTAACAATTTCAGAAGATTAGCTTCAATGTTAGAGTCCAGAGCTAACAGAGAAGAGTAAAAGGCTGCTTGCCCACTACATGGTCATTTTAAAGGGAAAGGAGATGCTGCCAGGTAGGTAGGCAGGGAGAAGGGTTCAACTCCTAGGGAAAGCAAGATGAGAGGGGTTCCATTGCACAGGAAGAAGGGGATGCCAGCGTAATCCTTACCTAGCGCTGCTCAGAGGCTGAGAATGTAAGGAACAGAGTGAAAAGCTACAAAGACTAGTATCAAGAAGAAAGAAAAGTCAACTTAGAAGAATTAAATTAAGAAAGAAAACATAGTTGGTCACAAACTCCTTTGTTTACTGAAACATGAAGCAATGGAAACATCCCGGCAAAGGGGACCGCGCGGAGCAAGTTCTCATATATGACCGCAGCCCGAGGGTTCAGTCCGCAATTATCCTACCTGAAAGAGAGCACAACACAAGAGGCTTACACAATGCCTGGAGAGCAGCTTGGCTCCGAGTACAGGGGCCCTGGTCTCGTCCTGTATTCCAGGGAGGGGAAAAAAAAGAACAAAACAACCAAGTCAGACTGGATCAAACTTATATTGCATGTAATTACCCCTAGGAGTCTACCAATAGCTATACACAGGAATGTACTTATAGCTAAATATAGGACAAGATGCAATCTACTTGGAGGATATTATGTTGGTGATAAATACATCTTATTTTCTTATTCATGTTTTAGGCCAACAAAGGGCACACATTAAGAACCACAATTTAGTTTTTGGGTCCAGGAAAAGCAGAAGATGCTGAGATCTCATATATGGCCAACTGCACTATTCTAAATGTATTTCATTTTACTCTTTCATAGTAAATAAGCTTTCAGAAATGATAGTCACAAAGGGTAGGGTATCAAGGAGCAATTGGCCATTCACCCATCAGTAACACACCTATGTGTCACACTGTCACAGATTTAGAGCCACAGTTCCAGTGATTCCCCTAATTGACCACATCTCCCTTGCCAAATCAAAAGAAGAAATCACTCCTAGAATTCTCTAATTCTTCTATTGATGGGAACTCCAGACACCAATGGCTGAGGGGAAAAAAAAGTTAACTCACACCAAGTTCCTCTACTTATTATAGACAAAGGGCCAAATCTTGGTCTTGATCTGTGCCAATCGACTTCAAAAGCTGTGACGTTCTTGGATCAGTTCTGCTAAGGTGAGACCCGAATTTGGATCCCCAATAGTTCTGGAGTATTTCATCCTGGCAGCCTCATTAACATCAGGCTCCTGGGACTGCAACCAACTCAGGGTTATTCAGTCCATTTGAGGTTCACACCTGGAAGGTAAGTTTCTTTAAAAGTCATCACTAAAAAGAGGTTAGTTGAACAACCACTGCTTGTAGTCAAAATTCACTTTAAAATGCCCTAGCAATACCTTTTAAAGATCACAATATACTAATTTAATCTTGAAACATATTTGAGTGAAATAGGTTATCTGACAGATTTACACCAGCTTACTTCAGGGTATATCCCACCTTATGGTAGATCCAGCTACGTTAAGTAAGTAAAAATTAAGGACATACTCTGCAAGTTGTAAGATTATCCACTACACACACACATGAACACATGAACAAAGACTTGTTGCACAGTGGTCTCAGGAGATCCCAAGCCTTGCTGACAGGGCCATATACAATATAACTTATCACAGGTTCATGCCATATTTGCTTCTCAGTTCACTTAAAAGAGCCAATTCCTATGGCTTTGCTTTTCTTCTACATATATACCAAAGGGATAAGTTAGTAACACTGGACACTTAGTGTAGCTCAGTTTAATCTTGCTATTGGGGCTCCAATTCAGGTGATACTCAATTTCCAGGTACAAGGAAAACCATGAAAATATAAAGTAGTCACAATGCCATTTCCATTCTGATGAAGACATTTATCCATCTCTAGAATACTTCTAATTATTCTTGCCATTCCAACACCTTTGCTACACACTTCCTGAAGTAGGAAACACTAAATTTTCATAGCCTATGGCACTGGCTTCACCACCTATGGGATTTTATGCTATGCACATTAGCAAATTACCAGTTTATCTAATTCTTTAAATGTTCCTCCCTTAAAAAACAAAACCAAAAATTGCTGGAAGAAATGGGAAACGTTAGGCTCTAAATGATAGTATCGCAGGCTATGAAGAATAGGGCTTACGTGCCCATACAGGACAAGATGCTTGGGATTACTAGTAAGAAAAGGACTCTATGGGACAGAGCATCAAAACATTCAGCTTTCAGGCAAACATTTAAAATGTATAGGACTTTATCTGGCATGTAGATTTATTAGAAGGGTTTCCTTTGATAAAGGATAATGACCCAAGAAGTAGTGTAGTTTTATCAGCAAACTGGAAGCCTAAAGTTATTGTTAAAATCCTCACTGTGTTATTACTAACTCCCGAACCTGTACTCTCAGGTTAACACTACTGTACTCTTGTAGTGGCAAGAGCATGGGTTTTGAAGTCAGGTCTGAGCGTGAAGTTTGACTCTACCTATCATTTACCAACAGACTTTAGGCAAAGTACTAAACCTCTCTGAGCCTTAGTTCCCTTCCCAGTAAAAGACAAAATATCTCAAAGGCTTAATGTCTAGATGATATAATATACACAGAGGGCACATAACAAATGTTAGTTCTCTTAAATATTCTTCTGTAACTCAAATCTGCTCACAACTGATTAAAGAACAATATTCTCACCAACAAATGGAGTTTGTTGTTCTCTCAGAAGGAACAAGTTGGTTACAGTCACACAATAAAACCTCAGAAGGCCAAATGAACCTAAGTTACAGAAATATTGAAGACATGTAATTTGGACCTTTAGATACTGTCCCAACAGCAAACAGGTGGCTGTCGCCCCCTCTATGAAGCATAGGTCTCTTTCGAGAACTTAAACAGAATCTCTTAACCACACCCACCCCACTCTCACCTCCAGTTTTTAAAAGGCTGAGTACCGTGCTCGGTCCACATACTGCTCCCGCTCATACCGGGCCATGTCATACAGAGAATTCCGTGCAGCTGCTGAAGCTTGGGACAACTCACTCTCTGGCCCATAACCGTAGCCCTCTCCAACGGTGGGGAGCACAGCTGCAGCACGACGCAGCGGACTCCTGTCCCTTCCATAATAGGATGAAGTGTTGGCAGCGGCAGCAGCCATAGCAGCTGAGGTGGCAGCAGCGCCAGAGTTCGGCAACAGGTGTCTGTCGTAGGGATCAACAGAAGTGGAGTTGAGGTGGCTGGACACTGCTGTGTTTTGGACTTGAGGCAGATGGGACATGGTCTGCTCCGCGTAGTTGTATGCGGAAGCTGCTGCTGCTGCTGCCACCGCCTCATAAGAGCGAACCCGGTAACGCTTATAGTAGTCGAATGCTCCATATGCATCGTTGTAATACACGGATTCCCCGTAGCCCATGGTGTATGGCGTGCGAACTGCTCCATACTGTTCATTATATTGCTCAGTAAAGTCCGCCACTCGACCTGTACGATCTACTGGGCACTCTTTGGACCAGTGCCCCTCTTTCCCGCACCGATAGCAGCCGCTCTGGTCTCCCATCCCAGGGGCAGTCCGAAGCCGACTGGTGGACAACTGCACGTGCATTCTTTTGCCTTGAGGAAATAGATGTAAGAAGATTTATTATAACTCACTGGCATTCTTTATCCTCTCCTAAATGAAACTAGTTGGCAGAAGACACATACACACTCCTGTGACCCTATTTCAGCAATCCCCTCAAAAAAGTAGTCAAAATGAATTTTTAATACAGATGACAGCTAGAAAATTTGAGTCCTCAGAGCCAATTTGGGTTAATATTGTCTACTCAGACCAGCAGAACAGACTCCTTCCTGCTTCTGTCTCCACACTTCCTTTCCCCCCAAACACAAAATCTGAAAAAGTTTCCACTCCTCACTTGTTAGAGTGTTACTAATTGTAATGATTCAAAACCTGCTAATACTTCCAAATCAAATATCCAACAAAACCTCAGTTATGCCAGATTTGGAAGGCATCTTACTCACCTCTCACTGACTAACTCAGGGCCATGTAAGGCCTGAGCATTTACTGTAGTTTAAAAACCACAGCAGGCCGGGCGCGGTGGCTCACGCCTGTAATCCTAGCACTCTGGGAGGCCGAGGCGGGCGGATTGCTCAAGGTCAGGAGTTCGAAACCAGCCTGAGCAAGAGCGAGACCCTGTCTCTACTATAAATAGAAATAAATTAATTGGCCAACTAATATATATATAGAAAAAAATTAGCCAGGCATGGTGGCGCATGCTTGTAGTCCCAGCTACTCGGGAGACTAAAGCAGGAGGATCACTTGAGCCCAGGAGTTTGAGGTTGCTGTGAGCTAGGCTGACGCCATGGCACTCACTCTAGCCTGGGCAACAAAGCGAGACTCTGTCTCAAAAAAAAAACCCACAGCAATCTTTTGTCCATTTGGTTTCCTGCAGCAGTTTTTGCAGGTGTCATCAGAAGGCTCCCTACGATGGGTACACAGATCCACCTTGGCTCATCATCTCCTTCATCTCCAGTGCCTCTGGAAGTTATAATACCCTCCACATTTCAACCTGCCCCCTGTTTTCTCACAAAGGTGAATGCATGCTTACTGTGGAAAAGAAAACTACTTGTCCAAGGTGTCTCAACAGCAAGTATTAGATCTTGAAACAGTATGGGTTACTAAAGGACAATGTGTTTCCATGTAATGGAATGATGAGCATTTCATCCTACCAGGTAGCTTAAAATTCTTTGTAGGGGATTACCTACTTGTTAGAAAAACGCAGCATTTGCCTAAAGGGCTCTGGGAACCCATACAAATGGGTCACATCCATACTTCCAGAAAATGACCAACACTGAAGTACAGCTAAGAGAAGAAACAATCTTTGCCCAGGGCTTGTGTACCACTAAACCCAGGGACCCTTACTGATGAAAATATCTGAGGCCTTTAAAAGCAGTTTAGGAAAAGAAGTAATTGTGGCAGTAATTTAGTCCCAAATTGCTTAAGGTTTTTAGAGATCAAGTTAATGCTTTTCAAATTGTAGCCAAAAGAAACAGCAGCCAGTACAGACATAGAGAACAGGAGCTTCTCGTCATTCTTAGGGGCTGATCAGAACAATTCTCCCCTCCACGATCAGCAGTTATTCTCTCTTTAACAGACCTTGTTCTGGATTGCAGCTATGCGATAGGCCTCGTGGCTCCACCATCCTGTTAGAAACAGCCAGATTCAGGATGGCAGCCAGAACAGCGGCATGCACTGACCCTGAGAGGGGAGCGGGTTAGTGCAGTAATATCATTTTAGTCAAACTCAGTTCTGCCCAATGTCTAAGATTCCTACCACCCCAGTTTCTGGTATTTGCCACCTCCAACTGAAAACCCATTCTTTAGCATAAACAAAGGAAGGAGCTCAGGCGGTATACCTCCAGCTACTGGCAGACAGGCAGCATCCACCACCACCACTGATACAACCAACAGATACTAAATGGCAATAATTCTCTGGAAGCTGCATTTAGACATCCCATTGTTTTCAGAGATTTAAACACTCCCATTCTAATTCTTAGAAGTTATTAAGGGCCACAATGCTACACTTAGAAACAGAGATTTCTGCTCCAATTTATATCTCAAATGCAGAGTTCCCTATAATTTAGACTAAAGGATTACAAATTACTTGGCTTTCAGACATGCATGGTGACATTAAGCTGTGTGACAAGACACAAACTGCTCCAATTCTAAAATCAGAGTAACCATGTCAATCTAAAAAGCAGCCAATCCAGAGACCTAGAAGTAACATTTTTAAAGGAAAAAAAAAATCAATTAAAGTTGCACTTTTATAGATTTTGGGTCTGGTTTTTTTTTTTTTTTTTTTTTTAGAAACAAAACCTAGTAATTTTACCTTGATGTTTGTTACTAAATCCATTCTTCATTCCTGCTTTTCTTTAAAGGGTGGGAACCCAAGTTTATAAACATTTGTAGCAAAATCTACCTCTGTGTAGTTGTGAAAAGGACGAAGATCCAGGTAACAATTTTTTAACCTAGAACTAAAAAAGCTATAACAGAAGTGATGTGTTGTTTTTTTTTAAACAGTCTTTCCAATGGTTTTAACAAGCTTTTAATTTAAATCCTCTAAAGCTCTCATAATAATTGAAAAATACTGTGCTTCTCTACTACCTTATGGAACCAGGGCAAAGAAGACTGAAAGAAGATTAAATTCTTCCACTCCACTACACTTGGACAGGCCAAAAGCTTAAAGATTTTCTCAGACCTTCAAAAGTTACTGAAATCTGCTGCCAACATTTTCCAGAAAACCTGCCCAATAAAAGTATTTTCTTTGAAAGCTGGAAGGGAAAAGAGCATTAAAATGCTGAGGTGAGAAACTTGGGGGTACTAATTTCTGAGCTCCTATCAAGTGCCAAGACTGAGAGAGGGATGGGGATGTAGCTGATACACAACAGTACTCTGACTTAATACTTGTTTACATATGGGGAGAAATGAGACACCTGAACTCTTATATATCCTTCCCAATTCAGCTGCCTGAGTTGTTACCTGGGAATAGCTTCTTTAGGATCTTCCAACGCAAACTGTGTGTGTTAAGTAGAGTGGTTCAGTTCAATGCTGCTTGTGAAGAGGAAACACTTCTGAAAGAGTCAGGTAAACTCCGAGTCTGCTGCTTCCTTTTAGAAGTCATATCTAAAATGACTTGCACAGAAGCCTAAATGGCAGCCATTAACATCGAGAAATAAAGGTTCAAAAGATGCCTAATGTGGCACTACCTTCATTAGTAGATGACAGAAATGGCTTCATTAGTAAATGACTGAAATTAAAAACTATGTCAAACTGGCATCTAGACTGTATATTCTGTAAAACTGCAATTCCCTCCCCCTCCCCCATATCAGATGGGTAACATGCCCATGTCATAACAAGGCTTCAGGGAGGCACATCTCACCCATGCGCATGAACACCCAATCATCACGCTTATGAACTACAAAAGGATCTAAAACTGCAACTTATGATCTAATACTAAACTTTCCCTTGTCCTGTGGGGGAAAGAAAACCAGAGCTAGTTACAAAAATGTCTAAATGTATAACTCAGAGAAGAGTCCTCTCTCCGGAGGAGCCAAGCTAAGAACATGAAAACCAAATGAAGAATTTTTCTTTTTCAATTCATTTTAGTGTCTGTGCTTTCTAAGGAAGTGATGTTTTTAAAAATCTCATGGCTACTTCATTGAGTTATTCAGATACCCACTTCCTAAAGTACTGCACATGCTTTATTAAGATGTACTCATCCTAAGCCAACTCCTCTCCAATTAACATATATTTGCCCCTTTCCTTTTATTCAGTTTGTGTATTAAAAAGGCAAGGGCATGCTGTATTATGTGACTAGAATACCTCTGCAGAGTTTGTACCTGACTTTATATTCTTTTACATTTTCCTTATTACCTGCCAAGAGAAAACCTTCCTTTCCCAGTCTCCCACCATGTTCTCCTCCCCCATCAAATTAAAATAATTAAGAATACTTTTTAAAGTTGAAATGCAACAGCAGGCCGGGCTCGGTGGCTCACACCTATAATCCTAGCACTCTGGAAGGCCGAGGCAGGAAGATTGCTCAATGTCAGGAGTTCGAAACCAGCCTGAGCAAGAGGGAGACCCTGTCTCTACTAAAAATAGAAAAATTAATTGGCCAACTAAAAATACATATAGAAAATATTAGCCAGGCATGGTGGCACATGCCTGTAGCCCCAGCTACTCGAGAGGCTGAGGCAGAAGGATCGCTTGAGCCCAGGAGTTTGAGGTTGCTGTGAGCTAGGCTGACGCCACGGCACTCTAGCCTAGGCAAGAGAATGAGACTCTGTTTCAGAAAAAAGAAATGCAACAGCATTCTGAAGTAATTGAAGAAAAAATATAAATTAAAAAATAAATAAGGAAAGCTTCAGTATCACATTTTAAATAACCAGAAGAGAAACACCGTAGTTGCAAACTGCACTCACCTTTCACCATATAGTGCTTTTACTGTCAAAACACTTTCACAGTTATTACCACATTCTAGCCTCACTGCCATCCTGTGAGGGAGGTATGGCAGGGATCGTTAAAAGTGGGGAAAATGAAGCACAGAGGTTAAAACACTTGTCCAAGGTCATATGACTAGTTAATGGAATCAAGTATCTGCAACCTTGGCCTTATGCTTTAAAGAACAGCTAAAGGCCAAGGCTGACGCCAGAGATGCTTTATGGTGTTCCACTACCCATCTCTACTATTTGCAAGCTTTCTTATCCTTTTCTGGTCACGTTTTCTTCTTCTCCCATTATTTCTCTTCTCATTGTGTTTTCTAGGTTTAGCAAAGGACCCTTAAGTACTTCATAACAACTGCATTAATGGCACTCAGGAAAAGGGGTATTGACTTAGGAGCCACAAAAGTGACTGTGAACATGTGGTCCACAATGATACTGCTAACAAAAAACTTGTAGAACAACTTTAATCAAAAGGACTCTCTATGATGATGGAAATGTTTATCTGCACTAATATGGTAACCATTAGCCTCATAAGACTACTGAATGCTTGAAATATGTCTGGTACAACTGAAAAACGGATTTAAAAATTTTACTTAATTTCAGTTAATTTAAATGTACTAGCTACATGTGGCTACCATATTAGTACAGTTCTAGAGAATCTTCAGGCAACCTCTTTGTGATATTAATGACAATGCACGTAACAATATTATTGGCATAAATAATATGACACAAACTATGATGCCCTTACTGGACTGTCTTCAGAAGCAGGACTATCATTCCCATCCAATCTGTTACTTTTAGAAATTTCCTTTTTGTCCCATTCAGGTTAAATAATAGTAGGTGGAGAACAGTCCATGGCATGTTTTTTTGTTTGTTTGTTTGACTTTGCTCATTTAGTCCACAGACTGAACAAATTTGAGCACCCAAAAGAGACTCCCCCAAATCTATATGATAGAGATTTCTCTAAATGTCTTTTTTATTCTTTCCCACCACTACCCATCACCCAAGGCAGTAAAAACTATAAGTGCTAAACATTTAAAACCTCAAATATAAGGCTTCCTGGTCATAACAAAATAAGCAGGTAAGCCACAGACCTTTATCCTCCCATCTCCCATGAGGTACTCCTTTGCCCAGGCAGATTAAACTTCCGACAGCACTCAAACAAATGAACGAAGCCTGCAGGATAAAGTAACCCACAGTTTGTGATTCTACACAGTTGTTGAGGAACACCTTAGCAAACCTAAAAAGGGGAAGCATTTGCTTCCCCCAAAGTAAATTATACTTAAGAGTGGTAAATGTAATCTATTATTTCCATCTAAAATAGAATGGAAGAGACCACCCTGCCAAGTCCCATGGTCTTGTATTCTTGCCTCTGTCTTGAGCTAGACCCCACTCAGTTCTGCCACCCAGGACCCAGAGCAGTTCACCTTGAAACTCTGTGTTGTCAAGGCCCCTGATGGCCTCCACTGCATCCTCTGCCCGCTCCATGTGTACGAAGGCATAATCTTTCACGATGTCGCATTCGATGACTGGACCATACTCTTCAAACTTGGCCCGAAGCTCTTGGTTGGTACAAGTGGGACTGATGTTGCCCACATGTAACTTGGTTGAAGCTTTGCTCTTATTCTTGCTGGCTTCCACGTTGATGTTCACCCCATGAAGCTTGTAGTGGTGCAGGTTGCGTATGGCATCCTCGGCGGCCGTCTTGTCCTCTATGTGCACAAAGCCATAGTTCTTAATGATGTCACATTCCAGCACCTTCCCATACTGCTCAAAGAGTGAGCGGATCTCCTGCTCTGTGGCCTCCCGTGGCAGGTTTCCGATGAAAAGCTTCACCATCCTGACAAGAGCCTGGAAGACAAAAACAAGATTTCAAAGTGAGGTGGGAAATTTCAGTACACTGCAGCATTTTAGTTTAATCCTCCAAAGTTCTTGGCACCTTCAAGACCCTCACTCACACTGACGTTCATTATTCTTCCTCAGTAGAGGAAGAACGGTTTGTTCTTAAGGCTGTTCGCTATGTGTGACATGCAAACAGAAGGTCGGGGGTCAGCATGCATGGCACAGTCCATCACCTCCGTGAAATGGAGCGCATTAAAGTAACAGGATTAGCGGTTTCCTGTCTTAAAATAGGGAGGAAAGAGAAAAGCCCAGCAGAAGGCAAGAGGCATCTATCGGAGTGCCTGGTAACAAGATTTTGGAGGGAAATCTGTGTACCTCTCCTCCGGGCGATATCACCTTTCACGAGACTAAGAATAAAAAGGTCCCCTTCGCCCCAAACCGGGTCCCTCCCCCGCCCAGCGGCCCAACCTCCAGCTCCTTGGCCCCAACAAAGACTCGACCCGACCCCTGCCCCGCCCCCTTCCGGAGACCCGGCCCCGCCTCCTCCCGTTGTCTTCCCCGGACCTCCCGCGGCGAGAGGAGAAACGCAAACCCCGGGCCATCCCCGTGCGCGGGAGGCTGGGCCCGGCCTGCCCTCGGGCTCCCCAGACACACACACAACACGCCCTCTCACCTCCGGGTGGCGGCGGCGGCGGCGGCGGCTCCCGCGTCAGAGAGAACCCTACAAAATGGCGACGGCCGCTCGAGCCTCGGCGCGACCGGGCCCTTCCTCGCGCGCCAGCTCACGCACGCGCGAGTGCGCGCTGCCTCCCTCCCCTCCCCCTCGCGGGAGCCGGGCGACCAATCCCGCGGCCGCAAACAAATGGCTGCCCGGCGCGGGGGCGGGGCCAGCTGGTGACGGCCCTGCGGAGCGGAGGTTAGCCCGCCCCCAGCCCGGGCCAGCCAATCACCACCCTGGAAGGGGGTGGCCGCTCATGCGTCAGAAGGGCTCTGGACGTAACCACCGTCCCGGGGCAGTGGGAAGCTCGGGGTCGTTAGCCGTCACAATGGGACGAGCTATTGGGCCAACTGGGGGTGGGGGCGTGGGGCGCTGGTGACAAAGAGTTATCGCGCTGGGCCCCTAAGAAGGGGTTTTCTCAACGGGCCGCCCAGCCTCTATGGCAACTTGGGGCAACATTTCAAAAATACAGGCGCGCCACGTTTTAAGCAAACCTAATCATTTTTTGTGTCTCTTTAAACATAATTTTTAGATGTTTCATTGCAAGCGTGTCACTTATTGATGAGAGAACTGAGAACCAAGGAGCAGAAAGATGATGTGGCAGAAGTGGGACAGGTCTAAGGCGTTTCTACCCAGGTCACACTTACGTTTTGTTCGCTCGTGCGTGCACACGGGCCGTTTCTCTCTAGCTAGAATACAAGCTCTGATGGTGTGCCCATCACAGTTCCTGGTCTGCGGTGAGCACACCGAGGGAATACTTAGTGGAGTGGCCCAGAAAGGTTCCTTGTCTTGCGGTGGCTCAGGGTCTCGTCCACACCAAGCGGCTGGAGGTCTAGGCAACTGTGAGTCTCCCGACGCTTTCTAGCGTCGAAAATTCAACTGTGGTCCAAGGGCACCTCCTCCTGGTGGCGAAAGGGAAGCTATTAGGTGGATTACTGTCACCCTCCGACGATGCATGGACGTTGATGGAGATGGATGGATTGAGTTTGTCTCTAGGGTGGGGTGTCAATCACCATTCCTCATTGTGGTGGCGCCACAGCAGCTTCTCTGGTACCATCAGGCACAAATTCCCCAGGCAGCCCCTGCCCCTTACACTCCAACTACTCGGATATGTTTCTTTCACTGAATTCTTTTTGTTTCCCAGGCGTTTCAGAGGGGGTAATTTCAATAACCAACATGCACGATTGCCTCCTACCTAATTCTGTCTACCTCTCCCCTTCCCTTCTCCTCTTGGGCATTTTCAATTTCTTTCTGCACTCAAGACATATGTAGATACCATCTTGACCATTTCTTTTACATTATTTATTTATTTATTTATTTTTTTGAAACAGAGTCTCACTCTGTTGCCTGGGCCAGAGTGCCGTGGCATCAGCCTAGCTCACAGCAACCTCAAACTCCTGGGCTCAAGCAATCCTCCTGCCTCAGCCTCCTGAGTAGCTGGGACTACACGCATTTGCCACCTGCTCATTTTTTCTATATATTTTTAGTTGACCAATTAATTTCTTTCTATTTTTAGTAGAGACGAGGTCTCGCTGTTGCTCAGGCTGATTTCAAACTCCTGATGTTGAGCGATCCTCCCGCCTCAGCCTCCCAGAGTGCTAGGATTACAGGCCTGAGCCACCTCACCTGGCCTCTTTTTTTCTCTCTGAGACAGAGTCTTGCTTTGTTGCCCAGGCTAGAGTGATGTGGCGTCAGCCTAGCTCACAGCAACCTCACACTCCTGGGCTCGAGCAATCCTCCTGCCTCAGCCTCCCGAGGAGCTGGGACATGTGCACCACCACCATGTTGACCGTTGCTGACATTGTTTTCACTAATCTTACCATTTTATAACTTGGGTTCCTTCAGTGTTCCAGGACAGACTTCTCAAACATAGAGTCTGAATTTATCACCCACCTTCATACCCTGTATTTTGGATTTTATCCTTCTCTCCAATTCCCCAAATTTTCTGAGGTCTCCAAAATTAATGTCCTCTTAACAGATTTCATCCTCCTAAAATTTCAATTCGCCAACCTTTCCTCCTCTGTGTTTTATTTTTCTGTGAGACAGTGTCTCACTCTGTTGCTCAGGTTAGAGCACAGCGGTGTGATCATAGCCCACTGCACCCACAAATTCCTAGGCCCAAGCAATCCTCCTGCCTAAGCCTCCTAAGTAGCTGGGACTACAGGTGGATGCCACCATGCCCAGCTAATTTTTTTTTTTTTGTAGAGATGGGGTCTCACCATGTTGATCAGGCTGGTTCCCAACTCCTGGCCTCAAGTGATCCTCCTATCTTGGCCTCCCGAAGTGTTAGGATTACAGGTTTGAGCACCCTGCTGCCTCTGTGTTTCATGCTATTTCTTCTCATAGCTCTGACTGTACCATTCCATCTCCTTTCTCTCATCTATTTACTTAATCCTTTTTACCTCCATTCTCCTTCCCTGATAGGCAGCCATTCTAATGAGTTTAGTGTGTATTATTTTGTCTGTGTTGTTCCAAACATGGCTTTTAAATGTGAGTTCTTAAAAACATTTTATTGTGGAAATTTTCAAAAGAGGCACAAATAAAGAGAAAATATAATGGTGAATTCCTATGTACCCTTCACCCAGCTTTGACATTATCAACATACTGCTGATCTTATTTCATCTAGCCCCTCCACTTTTTACATTTTTTGCTGGAGTATTTTAAAGCCAATCTCAGACAATGTCATTTTGTGCGTACTTCAGTGTTTCTAATTTAAAACATCAGCACTATGCTATATTAATATCATCATTGATGCTCAAATTTCTCCTAGATTGTCACAAATGTCTTTTTTACGGTCGGTTTCTTCTAATCTGGACCTAACCATGGTCCACCCCGTGTACATTTGTATAAATTATGTACATGGTGTTTATTGTGCTATATAGCTCATAATTTTTTTTACCTTTTTTCCACTAAGTGCTGTGTTGCTGTGTGATATCTAACTATGGAGTAATTATGTGTGTGCCCTAATTCTATCTGAGAGTTTAGGGGAATATAAACCAGAAGTGGAATTGCAGGGTTGCTGGGTCATAGAGTATACATAGAACTAATGTGTCTAAGCCGTGCAAAGTTGCTCTCTGGAAAACCTGTGTCAGCTACTCTTCCGCCTGCATCACGTGAGGGCCTTTATACCTCTGTGTCTTTGCCAATGTTTAACATTATCCACTTTTCCAGTCTAATAGGTATAAAGTGATATTTCACTGTTGCTTTAATTTGTATCTCTTTGGTTACTAATGATGTTAAGCATCTCTTCTTGTTATTATTAAGTTTTTTTTGTTTTCTTTTCTGTAAATTTCCCACTCATGTCTTTGCTCATCTTTCTTTGTAGGTTGCAGTCTTTTAGTTGTTGATTTATAAGACTCCCTTGTGTATTATTCTAGATATTAATTTCTTATTGGTTTCAAATATCTTCTCTCATTCTGCCAATTATTAACTTTGTCCATGGTGTACTTCATTGAACAGAAATCCTTATTTTATATGCAATCACATTAATCAGTTTTTTAATCTTACAGCTTGTGCTTTTGAAGTTTTGCATAAGATGTTATTTTCTACCCCTGATCCAAAAAGATATTCTCCTACGTTTTCCTCTATTAACATTGTAGTTCTCACCTTGCACGTGTAGGTCAGGGGGCCACTTAGAGCAATGCTGTCCAATAGAAATAAGCTACATATGTAATTTAACAATTTCCAGTAAACATATTAAAAAAGTAAAACAAAACAGTTGAAATCCACTTTAATAAGACATTTGAAACCCAATATATCTAACATATTATCAACATGTAATAATAAAAAATATTAAAAATATTTTCCTCTTAAGTACTTGACATTTGGTAATTTATTTATATTTTTATTTTTTTGAGACAGAGTCTCACTCTATTGCCCAGGCTAGAGTGAGTGCGGTGGCGTCAGCCTAGCTCACAGCAACCTCAGACTCCTGGGCTCGAGTGATCCTTCTGCCTCAGCCTCGAGAGTGGCTGGGACTACAGGCATGCGCCACCATGCCCGGCTAATTTTTTCTATTTTTAGTATAAGGCAGGGTCTCACACTTGCTCAGGCTGGTCTTGAATTCCTGAGCTCAAGTAATCCTCCCGCCTCAGCCTCCTAAAGTGCTAGGACTACCGGCGTGCGCCACCGCGACCAGCAGACATCTGGCGTTTTGTACTTACAGCACATCTCAATTTGGAAAGCCATGTCTCTGATGCTCAGCAGCCACATGGCCAGTGGCTGCCACGTTGGACAGCACAGGGACAGCACAGAGCCAGGGTCAGTCCACTCTTGAAGGTGTTGTTATGTAAGAATGCAAATCGATTTTTCTCTAAGTAATGACCCCACCTTTCTCTGTCCATGTCTCTGTCCCGAGGATCGGTGGTGCCTGCGCTTACTGTATCTTTGTGCTCTGACTTGTGCCATCCCCCTCACCGCCCCATCCGTCTGTTGTCTTTCCTGGAACTTTTCCTTTCTGCCCCCCCACCCCCATCAGAAGGTGTTTCCCAAGACTTACTTCCTGACCCTGTGTTATCCTCTTCCACGTCCTGTCCTTAAGGAATCGTGCCCTACAGTGGCTTCGGCTGCCGTGTGTCTGTCTTACATCCCCAGTCTCACACCTGTGTTCTGCGGGACCGGGACCGCTCCCACGGGCTGCCTGCCTACGCTTGCGTTTGTCATTAAAACGACCCTTCCTCCGCTAACATCTCTCCCTCATTTACACTTCCTTCTAAAATGTCCAGGTATTGATTTCCCACCAGGCCCTCAGCTTGCCACCTGGAGTGCCAACGCCCAGATTCCCTGAGCACCCTACAATGTATGACTGTCGCACCCTTCAAGCAGGGGCGATGTGACAATTGTCCTTGAAGGACAAGAGGTGTCTGTGTACCACTGATGTGTCACTCCGTTTAGTCCCATGACACACTGTGCCACGTCATCACCTGGATACTGTGGAATACGGAATCCACACATCTCAGCAGGAAGAATTCTCCTGTGTGCTGCCTGGTCTACCAGATGTCGTGTTTGGAGCCCGCTCCGGGGCTGCACGTGCCGATGCTGTCTCTGCCGTGGCTGATGTCAGTCAGTGCGGATCTGCTCAGTTGGGGCCCTTGGCCAATTACACTAGAGATGGGGGCTGCTTTGCTGGAAGGATGGTTGTGTGTGTGCGTGGAAAAGAAAGAACACAGTTGCCTGTAGCAGGCCACCAGGGAGTGGTTACTTCCATCAACATCTGGAGCCAAACACCATTGCCCTGAAACCTCCAGTGAGCTCACCTTTAAAACTTTACTAAATCTAGAACGTGCCCTGTGCTTTGCATGGGTATTTACGTCCTGGGGCCTCCCAGGGCAACGCCAATGTGTTGCTCAGCCTGCTGGGAACCTGCCACTTGGATGCCCGTCTGAGCTCCCTGGATTCCACTGGGGAGGAGACAGACAGCGGGGACCCTAATCACCCCCCATGTGCCTGACTCTTCCCCGGGACTGGGCAGTGGCTGAGACTAGGTGGGGCTGTGGCAGTGCGCCCCAGTCTTCCATTTTTAAAAACGGGTTCAAGAATCGTGAGTGAAGAATGCCGAGCGCCAGGGCAGGAGTCCCTCGTTGCCTTTGAACAACATTGCTTGTTGACATCATCCCAACCCACGGCGGACTTCTTTGGTCTAAACAGAGGTTTGGTGGTGGTCAGCCCGGCGCACTGGAGGGCGTTCTCAGGGACCCGAGGTGAGAACACGCCGGGCAGAGGGCAGCGGTCAGGAAAGCAAACACACCCGGAGGCAGAGAGAGAAGCTGAGCTGTTTAATCACCCCCTTAGCCAGACTCAAGGCTGCGGTTGCCCCTGAACGACTCGCACCTGGAAATCACTCAGAGCAGGTGGAGGTGGAGCAGCCACTCAAGTCAGAGGATGAGGAAGAAGGGGACGGACAGCTCCGGCATCTGGCATTCCCGCCCCCAGGTCCTGCGTCAGCTCTGAGAGGTTCCTGGCTAGTCCCGGGGGCAAGGGACCAGACGCGAATGGCGTGCCCTAGCTGTGGTGGGAGGATGACCCTGAGGCGGGCAGCCGTTCCCCACATGGCCCATGTTGAGGGCATGGCACTGTCCGCACCGTGGCGGGGACAGAGGCTAAGGCTGGGGACGAGGGAGGAGGTGGGGGGAGTGGAATTGGGGGTTGCCTGGGTCCCACCACCAGTCTGGAATTAAATAGCAGAAGAGAAGGGCTGCCCTTGGGGACACTGACTTGTCCCCAGGGACAGTTTCTGGTGATGGGTTGACCCTGGCAACAGACCCTAGCAGCAGGCAGTTATCCTGACAAGAGGGTGGTCCCTGTCAACAGTCCCTGGCAGTTTCCTGAACAGAGGGAGGAGGGAGATGGCCTCGGAGTCTTGGCCCCGACTACTTGTTCTTCTTGAAGAAACTGAAGCGTTTCTCTCGCTCCCGTTCTCTGCCATCCTTGCTGCGGAGCACGACCGGCGCCTCGGCCCCAGCCGGCGCTATGGGGGGCATGGTCATGGCGCGGGTCATTCCCCGGGGGGCACCTGCTGGCTCCTCCGGCTCTCCGGAGGCAGAGGACGCAGTGGCGATGGCCGCGTTCACCACCCGCAGCCATGAGCTCATCTCTGCCTGCAGGACAGAAAGACACCTGGTCAGCTGCAAGGACACTGCTGGGCCGGCGCGGCGGACAGCAGGGATGTGCGAGAGGAGGAGGCAGAAACACGAGTTGACTATTTCCTCTCCTCAGAAGAAAAAGGACCCTCTAAGGTGGGGAACGTGACTTGGTGTGGCCCTCACAACACCCAGCTGGCACACTGCGGGTTGTCTTGTTACCAAGAGGGAGATGAGGAAGAGAAGGAAGGAAGGGCAGCTGCAGCTGGAGGTTCTGAGAACGGCCGGAGGGAGGGAACACAGAGGAGAAGCGGCGGCTCACCTCATCCTTGGCCTGGAATAAATATTCTTTTCCATCCTGTAAGCTGTGGGGAGAGAGAAGCCACAGGCAGAGCTGAGAATCTGCCAGACCAGTGCTGGCGAGAGCTCGGTCAAAACCCAGAGGCCAGGCTGGGGGGACGCCCTGGCTGCAGGCCGCAGGCCGCACCAGACTCGTTTTGCCCATTCTTCAGATGCCCAGGACGGTGCAAAAGCCAACCCTTCCCGCCGGCTGCGGAGGGCCGGGGTGCGCTGACTTCCACTCCAGCCCGCCTCGGCCAGGCGCGCGCTGGCTGGTGGGGCGGCCCCGGGCTTGCAGGAGGCAGGGCAGTGCCAGACCCGTCTTCAGATGCCCCCCAACCCCCACCCCCGGGAATCCTGCAGCTTGACGTCAGTTGTCAGGCCTGGGTCTTGGCTCCCCTGCCCCCCTTAGTGTGGAATACGGCCACAATCCTCTGCCTCTCCCTCGTCTGCAGCTGTCCCCAAGCAGCTGGTCTGGTCACTCCGTTGTGGTGACCCTTGCAGGGACCCCCGCTCCCTCTGGGCCCAGCCCCTGGCTCACCCTTATCGCTCCCCACTTCCCTCCCATACCGAGAGCACTGCGCCCCGTTCCTACCCCAGCTTGAAGACATGTTTGCGCTTTCGATAATCAAAGGCAACGCTGCCCTGGGCCCTGGCCAGGCTGACAGGCACTTCTCCGTGGTACGGCACTCCCGTGCTGGCTGCCTTTGCATCCTTGTAGAAGCCCAGGCTCCCCCGCCGCAGGACGCAGTATATGTTCTGCCAGGACCTGTGCGGGGCACGGTGCAGTCGAGAGGTGGGGCAGGCTGCCTGGCTGGCCTCGGCGGGGCCTGTGACCGGGGACTTCCAGCTCCACGCCTGTCCGTAGGCCCATCATCTTTGTGCCCTCCTGGCCCTCCCTGAGGCCCTGCTCTGGTCCTGAGTCCTGCCCCTGTCCCAGAGGACGCAGTCTAACGGGCACCCTCCCTGTGCCTAGGAAGACGTTCTGGGGAAGCCTGCTCAGAAGGCAGGCGCCAGGAGGCCACGGGCACCGGGCGGCCAGGGCCAGTACCTGTTGGCGGCCTTCTTGCCGAAGGCCTCCATCTCCTGCTTGCGGCACAGCATGCCCTCCATCTGCTCCTGGGCAGAGGGCTCTGGGCCTCGGGGCAAGGTGGCAACATGGGTGGCCTCTGACGACCTGCTCTGGGGCATCGTCTGAGGGGCCGGGCCCCGTGTCCGGGTCTGCCTCTCTCCCCGTGGCCCACCAGCCTCTTCCCCGGCACCGGATCCCTGCAGGGAAAAGCAGCGTCAGTGTCCGACCGCAAGATGAGAGACCCGCGGGCTTCCGCTGGGCCCCTGCCCCCCGTCGTCCCCAGGACAGCAGCCCCTGGCTTATGCCCTCTGTGGTCCCTGTGTCTCCCGGCCACCGACACCTGCACATCCAGGGAACTCACAGGCCCTTCCAGGAAGCTGCTCTGCTCGAGGCTCTGTTGTTCCAGCAGGGGCTGCAAGGACAGGAAGCCGTAAGAGGATTTTCGAGAGGGACTACGATTCTGACAGGGCACATGGGGATTTTCGAGAGGGACTACGATTCTGACAGGGCACATGGGGACCGCCGAGTTACCTGTGAGGCCTCTGTGTCCGTGCAGACTCCGTTAACGCTGGGCGCTTGTGCGGATGGTGGCTGGCTTCTGGAACAGCCGAAGGCGACACGGAATGATTAGTCTTTGGGCTGCCTGGGCTCAGCCTCATCCTCCTACCCCAGGCGTCCCGGCTCTCACCCATCCCAGGCGGCATCAGGAGCCGTCTGGCCGTCCGCCAGGCCCCCCTGTGGCAGACTGGCCCTGGGTTCCGGGGCAGGGGGCTGTTTCCTCCGTTCCTCCTCTTCCCTCTTCCTCCTCTGCTCCTTCTCCCGCTCCTCCAGCTGTCAAAAAATGCCGGGGCCAGAGTCAGAAGGTCTCGTTTAAAAGGCTTGGGGTGTTAGGGAAAGCTGAGATGTCTCGGTTCCAGTCTGCTGAAGGAGGAAGGACGGAGAATAGAATCCAAAGGGGGAGGTGGTGCGTCAGCATCGCCCGGGGAAACTGAGGACTCCCGAAGTCGTCATGACAACAGGGCACGCTGTTGTCAGGCCCGGGAGATGCTGGTGCAGTGAGAATGGCAGGAGAGGGCACCAGCCCGGGCAGCAGGTTGGGGCGGGCGTCCCCGGGGTCCCGAGGCCCTCACCGCGGTGAGCTTCTCCAGAGCGCTGAAGCGCTCCTCCCAGGCCACCGCTGACTTCTGGAAGGCTTCGTGCCGCTTGATGAGGCTCTCGACTTCATCCACCGTGCAGCCCAGCTCGGCGCTTCGCACCAGCGGCTCCTGGCTGCACAGCCAGGCCTCTGCCATCCCTGCGTCTCTCCCAAACATGAGCACCTCCAACACTGCCGGGGCCGGGCACCACGGAGAGAGGGCAGGTCAGAGTGGGCGCTGGCAGGACACAGCGAGAACAAGGACGCAGAGGAAGCCACGGCCCCAGAGCAGGGCCAGGCGGTCGGCACCTTGTGCTCCACACCCAGGGTTCCGGGACTCTCGATCTCTGGAAACCCAGAGAGCGAGACTCTCGGCCCCTCCTCCCAGGACCCGGCGCTCCCAGGGCAGCTCACCAAGCTGGAGCCAATCCATCTTCTCCTGCCACTTGTCAGCTGTCTCCTGGCGCCGTGCTCGCAGCTGGGACAGCTTCTCTGAGATCTGGGGGGCAGAGATGCGAGTCGGCACCAACGGGGGCCTTTCCAGGTCCCCTGGCCCTAACCCTGAATCAGCCCAGAGGACTAGTGGTTTCTGACGCCCAAGAGGCAGATGGTTCCGGGGGAAAGATGGGATGTGGAAAATCTCTGAGCAGTACTGAGCGGAGAGACAGCGAGAGATTTCTTGCAAAGAAAGAATGCGAGGAAGCAGCCAGGCTCAGAGGGAAATCAGCACTGAGCGCGGCCCCGCCCACCTCCTCGGCCGCGTAGTGGCTCCTGGCAAGCAGCCCCTGCCCCATGTCGATGCAGGCGGAGAAGCGGTCCGCCCTGGCCTCTATCTCTGCCTTGATGCCTTGTTGGTTCTTGATGACCAGATCCGCGGAGGACACATCCCTAGCGGGTGCAGAAACAGGATCGCCCACTGCCCACAGCCCGTCACCCCCGTGGTCCAGCCACACCACCCACAAAGGCCCTGGGCACGGCGGTCTCACCGGGGCCGCTCCTGGGCATCCATCTGCAGGTTGACACCGTCCATCCAGAGCATCAGCTCCCGCACGGCCTTGAAGAAGCGGAACTTGTCCGTGGTGTCCAGCAGCAGCTGGCGGCGGGCGGCAGAGCTTCCTTGAAGCTGGGCCCAGGCCTCGGCCACGGCCTGCATGTGGCGGCCGATCTCCTCGGCCTTGTCTCCAGCGTAGGCCTTCTGGAGCCGGTGGCCATCGTCCTGCACCTGCTGGACCTGCGGGGCCCCAGGTCAGGGTCAGGCGGAGCGAGGAGGCTCCTAGGAGCTGCAGCCTGTCTCGGTCCTGGCTGCCGCTGCCCACCTCCTGCCTGTTTCGCCAGCCAGAGAGGCAGGAGGAGGAGCCAGGGGTGGCCAGGAGCGGTGGAGGCAGGTGCCCTGCCAGACTCTGCGCTGTCGGGTCTCACGTGAGGGCCTGGGCTTATCAGAGTAAAGGAGGCTGTGAGACAGCCACTGGCCAGGACGGGAGGGTCCTCGAAGATTGTAAGACTAAAATGTTTAGTCTAAAGAAGGGAAAAGGGGTGCTGACTGGGTTTAGACAGTGGAAATAAGGCCCCGTGCTTATTCTGAGCTCAAGCCTGGGAGGCACCAGCAGACAGATAGATGTTCGTGTGGCACGAAGAGTCCTGTGGCCACTTGGGCCACCTGAAAATGACACGGGCTCTCAAGGAGCCTTGTCATTAAAAATGTGAACACAGTGGCTGTCCCCTGGGCGGAGATGTTCTCCTGGAGCAATTCTAACCTCATCCCGCAATGACCCCCCCAGAGGACGCCACACTCCCAGCACTTCTGGGATCTGCCCGGCTCCCAAGAACCCTGCCCCCACTGCCCGCAAAGTCTCCTCTCAGCCTCCCCCACCTCCTCACACTTGGCTCAGACCTGGGCGCTGAGGGCCTGGATGTCATGCTCGTAGGCACAGTGTCGGCGCTGCAGGGCCTCGGCGGCATTGAGGTCACGGCCGGTCCCGTCCGGAAGCTGCTGCTGCTTGTGCTGCACCCGGGCCAGGGCCTGGCGCGCCCCGTGCAGGAAGCGCTGCAGCTCGTACGCGGCGGCCAGCACCTGACCCCGCGTGTCCAGCAGCTCGAGCAGGTCAGCCCAGGCCTCGTTGAGACTGTCCTTCCACTCGGCCACGGTGGCCCGTGCAGCATGGCCCCCAGTGATGAGCCCATTGGCCAGTGCATTGGCGCTATCTACGCGCTCCTGGCCAATGGTGCTTGTATCCCGGGAGAACTCTCGGAATTTGTCCCGGAGCATCTGGTGGAGGAAGCAGTTGTGCACTGGTGACGCTGTGGCACTGGTGATGTGGCCCCTGCCCAGGGGAGTGAGGCTCCTGCCAAACTCAGAACCCACTTCTCTCCCCTGGGCCACTCGGGGCACAGCAGGTTCCATCGCCAGGGCTGAGTTACTGAGCAGACGCAGCCACTTTCCGCTGCCGCTGCATTCAGCTGACGCCCTCCACCCCTGGCCCAGGTGTCTGGAGGTGCTTGGAACCTCCAGACCTCGGACAAGAATACCCTGACTATGAGGATCCAAGCCCTAAGCCATAGCGGGGAATCCCACCTGTCTGCTGAGCTACGCTGGAAAGACTGATTGGATGTCTCCTTTTCGCCCTTGGCCAGGCTCAGCCCCGTGTCCCCCTTGCTGCACGGTTCCTCCAATTACACACCCGAGACCCAGGAGGACATCGCCTGCTTAGCCTGGTCTCAGCCCTGCCCCTGCCCCTGCCCCTCGGCGCTCTGCCCAGGACGAGACTCTGGTCTCCCAGTGGGTCCTCCCCGAACTCACCGTCACGTGCTCGTAGTCCTGGCCCAGCTCGTGGGAGGCCGCCACCACCTCGCGCTCCTGGATCCACTGCTCCAGGTCGTCCAGCTCCCGGCGGAGCTGGCACAGCCGCAGGTGCTCCTGCAGCCGCTCCCGCCGCTCTCCGGCCAGCTCCTTCAGGCTGGCGTACAGCTTGTCCACCTGGGCTTGGCGGATCGATATCCGTGTGCTGCAGGGGGTGGCGGAGGCACCATGGGACTGAGGAGCCACTGCTCCAACCCCAGCCTGTTCTGTGGGGTCCTGTCCCTCTTAAACTCTCAACAGATCGCCAAGTCCCTGTGTCTGCAGCTCTCTAGGTGGCTCTGCGCACACAGCACAGAAGGCTCCCAATCCCTGCGCCTGCCCTGACGGCGCCCCTCTCACCTCTCCGGGTGCTCCTGGTCAATCATGTCTTGGCTGCTGGCTGCCAGCTGGTGGACGGTCCGTGCATAGTTGGCCAAGGCTTGCTCTAGGACCTGGTGCTTCTTCACCTCTGCCTGGGCACTCGGCTCGTCCTGGGGAAGGGACAGCAGGCATCAGGCAGTGGGTGGGGGTGCGGGGAGAGGCGGAGTCGGCCCCAGGGACTGGGCTTTGCCCTGCCCTCACCTTGGCCTTCTCCTGGCCCATCATGTGTAACTCCTGCTCGCCCATCCAGGCCTCCGCCTCGGCGGCATCGCGGTAGAACTGCTGGGCCCGCAGGGCCTCTTCGAGTCGCCTCCCTCGAAGTTCCAGCTCATGGCCCAGGCGTTTCCACAATCCCTGCAGCTCAGCCAGCTCTGGGCCTGCCGCCGCCGCACCCAGGGCACGCTGCCGCTCCGTCAGGTCCGCGATCCGGGGCTCGTGGCCTTGCATCTCCTTCTGCAGGGTCTGCCCCGGCAGCAGAAGAGGAAACACGGACAGGCTTGCCAAGGGACCCCTACCCCACCTCCCTCAGACCGACTCCCGGGCAAGCCCTCTCCACACTCTCCGCAAGGACCCCCATTCTTGGCCCAGGTACTCCATGGTAATGCCCCTTCCATCCCATGTGATCTGCTACCGAGAGAAGCCACCCTCCCGGTGAGCAAAGCAGGACCGCTGACGTCTAGGGCTCCACACAGCATGGAGCCTGGGCCAGAGAAGCAGGTCTTAAGAAGAAACAAATGTCCAAGTCTGGGGAAGCCCCTGGGGACTTTGCCTTCACCCTCTGCCTCACCTGGTTTTTCTTCATGAGAAGCTGGACGCTGGGCAGGTCCTTGCCGTGTTCCATGGAGCTGGCCATGGGCAGTCGCTCCGTCACCCACAACTGACAGAGAAAGGGGGGGGTCAGCGGAGTTCCAGAGGTCAAACCAAGCACTAGGGGTGGGACAGTGGGGATGTCTAGGGCTACCGGGGTGTGTGAGGAATAGTCATCTCTGGAGCAGAGTAAAGGGACCAAGAGGGCATCCCCAAGTCTCCCTAGAGAGGAAATTTTCAAGCCAAAGAGAAGAGGAAACAGAGCACTGCTGGCCTCTGCCCAGCATCCAGGCAGGAGGCTGGAGGGCCACGTGGCACAGGGTGACTGGCCCAGATGAAGACTCTATCCCACCCTTGGCCCCAGGGACTCACGATCTCGTCCTCCACGTCCCGGTGGAACTGGTGCTGCTCTCGAGAAGCCTGCAGGCGCTGGCAGCGCTCCTGCATGGGCTGGTACAAGGCCCTGAACTTCTCCTCCACGGTCCTCGAGGTCCTCTCCACCTCCCCTGCGCCCTGGTCTTCCTGGGCCAGCGCTTTTGCCTGGGCCTGGATGGCCTCCACCTCCTTCTCGCGCACAGCCATCTCCCGTTCCAGCATCTGCACGTCGCGGGGAGGACGGACGCGTCAGCCCCACGTCTCCACCTTCAAACTCGGAGGAGACACTGGGCTGTACCAAGCCCATCGTGACCTGTCATCTCCGGGGCTCACCAAAGGGACAGCATTCCCAGGGCCCAGACCAGTGGCTCCTAAACTTTAACACACACGAGGGTCCGGGAGAGTGTGAGGACTGTGCCGTCAGCCCTAAATGCACCTTGGTTCCAAATCTATCTTTGCCTGCTTTGACACCTTGGTACTGGGCCCTGAAAACATTTCTCTTTAACAGCTGTCACAGTGTGTGGCCTCGTCAGTAGAGGGCGTTGGAGGGACAGCAAAAGGGACAGCAGGAAGGGAGTCTGCGGTTCCTGTGCCCTCTCCTGACTCCTGCAGCAACACTGAGCACGAGATCCAGCAGGCTCGCCCTCCAGCACGGCTGTGGCCTTCCAGCTGCAGACCTGCCCTGGCCCATGGTACCCGTGTCTCTATTTTTCGTAGAGAAAGGATCTCACTTTTGCTCAGGCTGGTCTTGAACTGATCTCAAGAGATCCTCCCGCCTTGGCCTCCCAAAGTGCTGGGATTACAGGCGTGAGCCACCCCGGCCAGAAAACACGTTTTCTGACCCCTTTGTAGAATTCTCTTTATCCCTTTTAACTACTTTCTATTAACTAATACTTTTTTTTACTGAAGTCCCCCTCTTCCAATTACTAGTATGTCTCTATCTCCTGACTTGACCCGGCTGACACATCGCCCTGGAGATTCCCACACCAGCGGCCCATAGAAACACTTCGAGAAGCACCAACGAAGACGTTATCTGCCAGGCCTCAGAATGGCCTCCCAAATCTCGGGATCCACGGCTTCCCTCCTTTCTTCCGCCATTCGCCATCCCATCCTCGCCACAGGCCCACGGCCCACCTGCTGCTTCTTGAGCAGAATGTTGACGCTGGTGAGGTCCTTGCCGTAGTCGTCCGAGTGCAGCTGGGCCTGCAGGCTCTCCAGCCAGCTCTCCAGGGCGGAGCAGCTTTGGGCGAACAGCTCGGCGCGGTTGGCGTCGAACAGGCTGCGGGCCTTGGCTTGGGTGGTGGTCTCCAGCTCGTCCCAGCGCCGGTGCAGGTCCCCCAGCTTCTCCGACACCAGGGCTTTCAGCTCTGGCTTCTCAAGGGTCAGCTCTCGCCCTTCCTGGGAGGCGAGGCAAAGAGAGTGTCGGTGCCAGAATTAGACACCACTGAACTTCACTGGCAATAGCAGACCAGAGACCTAAGGGCACCAGAGACCGGACAGGTGGGCAGCAATTCCAAGGCCGTGTGCTCTCGTGAGCGAACTCCAGACCCCTCTGAGCTGCCCGGCCTTCCCTGCTGACGAAGCCGCTCCTCCTTCACGGCCCAGCGCACAGACCCCACCGCAACTGAGACGCGCTGCAACCCTTCCTTAGCCTGGGCTCCCCGGCACCTGTGGTCTCCAGCGTCACACTGCACGTGGACCTGCCTTGTCCACTCTCACCTCATGTTTCTCAGCGCGTCCCCCCTCACGTGAACTGTGGCAAGTGCGTCCCTCCTGGTCCCCCACCTTTAGCCCTTCTGCTTGAAGGCTTTGTTTCTGAGGAGTGAGGGGGGCGTGCTCTCTCGAGCCGAGTGGAGGTGAGTTAGAAGTGCCAGAGAGTCAATGCCCCAGAAGCAGCCCGTAACCAAGGACAGAGCGTCGATGGATACACAGCCAGTGTCCTCGGGCTCTGGCTGTGATGGCGCGGATGGGCGCTCTACACCAGCGCCCACGGTGCCCACACGGGTGACTGGCATTACCGTGCACCTTTACTGACCTCAGCTCTTCTCTGTCTCATCTCTCTATACCCCTGCCAGTGCCTCCTGCAATCACCTCCCATCTAAGCGGCCAGCACTAGGATCGCTGTTTCAGCGTCTGCTTCTTGCAGAACCCAAGCCCAGGCACTGCCTTCAGGCTGTGTCACACGCGGCCGTCACATCAGAGGCCAACACTGCTTGGTAACTTCACAACAACCCTCAGCACAACCCACACCTCACAGCACACTCCCTGCTGGGGATCAGGGCTGCTGGTGGCCTGGCCCCGCATGCTTTCCCCACCGTTTCTCCCACAGGCCTCACACACTCTGTGCTCCTGCCGGACTGACGGACCCCCCTGTTCCAGTACCGGCGCTTCCACAGCCCTGCTTTTCTGCTCACGCTGTTTGCTCTACCGAGAAACCTCTTTCTCCCAATATCTCTGCTTGTCCGAATTCTGCCCGCGCCCCATGGACTACCCCGAGCACTCTCAGAAGTCCCACGTCTCCTCTCTCCTCTGCCCGGGCTTTACTAGGCTGTCTCACGGCGCTCACCCCATTCTGCTGGGGATTTGACTTGGCTATGTGTGTACGTGTCTCCTGTCCTGGCTACGGCTATTGTTCCTTGAGGGTGGAGCCCACAGTGGAATCATCTTTGCCCCCCAGGCAGGGCCTCAGACAATGCTTTGCACGGAGGAGCACCAAGTATTTGCTGAACAAATGCAAAAACCAAAAACATGCTGGCCTCCTCTTCTCCCCAACCATCACGCCCTAGAGGGGAGGAAAGCGACCCTTTATACACCTTGCAGTACCTAGCAGAGTGCTGAGCACACGCAACGTCCTCTAGGAATGCTTGCTGAGTAGAAGTGAAGTTTTACCTGTCCTCAGCTCTTGAGGAAGAGCTGGGTGGGTGGGAGACCAAGTACCAGGAACAGAAAGACTCCAAAGCAAGGATTGGCAAACTATGGCCCACCGGCCAAATCTGGCCTCCTGCCTATTTTTATAAATAAAGTTTTATTGCAACACAGCCACGCTCATTCATTTACGTATTCTCTATGGCAGCTTTTGCACCACAACAGCAGGGACGAGTAACTGCAGCAGAAACTAAAACAGTTACTACAAGCCGTCTACAGAAAAAGTTTGCAGATTCCTGCTGAAGGGTTTCATCTGGCTCGGGACCCAGGAAGGGTCATCATGTTGCACCAAAGCTGCAGCATGGTCCCCTGCTAGTCTATGCTCTCGAAAAGTTCTGGTGTTACTGTCCCACAGCCCTAAGACATTTGTGCCCAGGCCACAACTTTCCACCTTGGAGGTGTGGCACCAGAGGCCCCGTGATGTCTAACCCTGAAAAAAACTTACCTTGGAGCCAGGCCCGTCCCCTGCCCCGCAGCGGGACCCTGCCAGGGGCAGCGCCAGGGACTCACCTCCCACCACTCCCGTCACACTGCTCACCTTGTCCACCTTGTCCAGCCAGTCCTTGTTGGCGGCCAACTCTGCCATGAACGCCTGGTGCTTCTGCCACTTGGTATGCAGGTTGCGGGCCTCGTCATAGGAAACGTCCTGGGCCGTCAGCATCTTCTCATCAATCCAGAGTTTCAGCTGGACCAGACGCGACGCAGGGATGGAGGACAGAGGACGTTTCAAAGGGAGAGACGAGTGGGGCGCAAGAGAGGGTGAGACTGGGGGAGAGGCGTGGAGGGGCTCACATGCTCTGAGGACACTGTGATGGACTTGTTCTAGGCTCAGAGTGGGAAAGGGGTGGCTAGGAAATGTCACAGGGGACATCAGGGACTAGAGCAGGCGTCCTCAAACTATGGCCTGCGGGCCACATGCGAGTGTTTTTGCCCATTTGTTTTTTTTTTACTTCAAAATAAGATATGTGCAGTGTGCATAGGAATTTGTTCATAGTTTTTTTTTTGAGACAGAATCTCACTCTGTTGCCCAGGCTAGAATGAGTGCCGTGGCGTCAGCCTTGCTCACAACAACCTCAAACTCCTGGGCTCCGGCGATCCTCCTGCCTCAGCCTCCCAAGTAGCTGGGACTACAGGCATGCGCCACCATGCCCAGCTAATTTTTTCTACATATATTAGTTGGCCAATTAATTTCTTTCTATTGGTAGTAGAGACGGGGTCTCGCTCTTGCTCAGGCTGGTTTCGAACTCCTGACCTCGAGCAATCCGCCCACCTGGGCCTCCCAGAGTGCTAGGATTACAGGCGTGAGCCACCGCGCCCGGTCTGTTCATAGTTTTTTTAAAACTATAGTCCGGCCCTCCAATGGTCTAAGGGACAGTGAACTGGCCCCCTGTTTAAAAAGTTTGAGGACCCCTGGACCAGAGCCTCACCTCATGACAATCTTGTAGGAAATGCTGCTGCTCTCGGTTGTCCCGAAGACGGCCCAAAAGCTGCTGTGCTGCCTCCTGATTCTTCCTGTGTCTGTAACGACAGCCCCGAGGGAGACTCTTGAACTCGCTGTGAGAGGATCAGAGGCCAACTGACCGACTCAGAGGCCTTCAGTCCTCCCAGTAGGGGGGTGATGCCTTCCCGGAGCCGACGAGACAAGCCAGGAACCCCGGTCTCCAGGCCTGCTGCCCGGGAGACGTCCCCCTGCCCTGGTGCAGGCGGAGGCAGAAGCTCCCGGCCCGTGGCGTGGTCCCGCTCCCACCGCCTGGTTCTTCCTCCTCTGCCTTTCTGCCAGCCCCTGCCCCGTCCGTCGGTTTGCCTGTGCCACGGTCTCCAGCTCGGAGGCCATCCTGTGTTCACTCCTTTCCCCAGGGGCCCTCATCCATGCACCGTGCCCCCACACCTCCGCTCGATGGAGTCCGCCTTCTCCCGGATCTTCTCGGCGTGGATGTTGCCCTCGGACACCAGCTGGCGCCCCGCCTCCAGGAGCCCGCGGATCCGCTCCCCGCTGGCGTCCATGGTGCTCATGAAGTCTTCCAGCTTTTTTATGGCAGCGTCGGCGGCCTGGAGGGTCCCTGGCATCTCCGCGTGAGACAGAACGTACTCCTGTGTGGGAGGGCGACAGCGAGCTCGCTTCTCACAGCACAGTTCCACCCCTCCGAAGGGACCCCCCCAGGCCGTCACCTGAGATGTAGGGGCTGATATCCCAGCCCCCCCCATGGCAGATGCACCTTCGGGTCTGCCCAGCGCTCACCTGGCTGCTGAGCACGCCCTCTGCCTGGCGCGCATCCCGCAGGAAGCCCTGGAGCCCGTGGGCCTGGGCCAGGCGACCTTGCCGGCTCTCCCACATCCGGCCCAGCTCCTCCCAGCCGGTTCCGAGGGCTTCCAGGCGCTGCCGCAGGAAGAGGCACTGGGGATCCGCCTGGTCCCGGGTCACCTCCTCGCCCAGGGCCCGCAGCCGGCTGTACTCGCTCTGGGCCCGCTCCACCTCTCCCCGCAAGGCTGCGTGTTGGGCCAGGAGGGCCTCTGCCTCAGGCAGGGTGGCGGGCCCTTCTTCAGAGGCCACAGCGGTCTGAGTGCGGCCTAGCCAAGCCTGGAAGTCATCTAAGCTGCGCAGGAAGTCCTGCAGCCGCCGTGCCTCCCCCAGAGACTCCTCTCGACGCCGCATGGTGGCCCTGAGGTCCTCCCAGCCAGCTTGCACTTCTGCAAGCCGGGCGTTGATGGCAGGGGCCTGGGCCGGGTGACCAGCGGCCAGGGCATTGGCCTCTCGAGTCAGTTCACCCACCCGGGCAGCGATGGCTTCCAGGTCCCGCTCAGTGCCGGCCAGCTTCCGCTGCAGGGCCAGCACCCCGGCCAGGTCGTTGCCCAGGCCCTGGGTGGACTCGATGACCTTGGTCTTCTCTCTCATCCAGGCCTGGGTCTCCGTGCACTCTAAGTGGTAGTTCTGGATGCTCAGGGCTGATGTCAGAGCTGCCTTCTTGCCATCCGCCAGGGACCGAAACTGCTGCCACCTGCGAGTGGGACGAGGGTTTAGCCCCCCCCCCAGATCTATTTGGAAGCTTCTTCCCTGCTTCTCCCTCCGAGGGTACTTTCTACTCACTTGCTCTGCTGTTCTAACGCGGCTGCTCCCTGCTCATCTTCCCTGACTGCTTCTCTTCTTGACCCCTCACCTCTCCATCATTTCTCCTCCCCTGACACAGCCCTGCCCTGTCTCCTTCCTCCTTTTTAACCACCTTCCGGCCCTGACACACTCAGTTCCCAGTGCCACCCCCATGCTTTCTCAGCCCCCCGTCCCGACCTCCCCAAGCCCACCTGTGGTTGAGCTGCTTCTGCGTGTTGACAATGCGGTCCTTGCCCGGGGGGTTGGCCTTCAGCAACTGCTCCGCAATGTCATTCACCGCAGTGATTCTCGCAGCCAGGGCGTTCATTTCGGGCTCCAGGGTCTCAAACCTGAGCGAGAGGAAGAGCCAGGTGTGAGCAGGGGAGGCCGTGATGCCGTGCGCCCAGCCCCTCCCATGAACACCCACGAGAGCCCCCTCTCCTATACCGCGGGGCTTATCTATGGGCGTCTGTGCCTCGCAGCCCACGAGGTTCACAGCACCTGTGGGTCAAAGGAGGAGCCCCCAACCCCCACAAAACAAGCAGAAAACTATCATCTCTAGAGTTGCTCAAAAAGGTGGTAAAAGGTGAAGGTCAGGGACAGCTGCACAAGCCGACCAAACCCTGGTGTGGGCCCAGCCTTTGCCAGCCTCTCTCTCCGCCCGGGGCTCACCCCTTAGCCGCCTGCCTGGGTCTCAACCTACCAGTATGTGTTTGAAAATGCAGTAAGAACCAAAAACATCTGTCTAGGTGATAAAGGTGTGAAGTATAACTTCTCCCGGGTACATTTTATAGGGCAGGGCATGAAAATATTTTCTGTAAAGGGCCAGGCAGTAAATCATTTAGGCTTTGTGAGCCGCACAGTCTCTGTTGCAGCTGTTCCACCCTGCTTTTGTAGCATGGGCGGGGCCATGGGCATTACCTAAAGGAATGAGCATGTCTCTGTTTCAATAAAGGTTTATTTACAAAGACAGGCAGCACATTGGATTTGCCCAGGGGTTGTAGTTTGTCAACTACATTAATATATCTTGAAAAGTAAAAATTCCTTGTTTTTAAAACCCATGAAATTGATAATAGATTGAGATATGAAGGAATTGCTAATTTTGTTCCATATGATAATAGTGTTGCGGTTTTGTGGGTTTTTTTGGTATTTTTTTTGAGATAGAGTCTCACTCTCTTGCCTGGGCTAGAGGCATCAGCCTAGCTCACAGCAACCTCAAACTCCTGGGCTCAAGCGATCCTCCTGCCTCAGCCTCCCGAGTAGCTGGGACTACAGGCATGCACTACCATCCCCGGCTAATTTTTTCTATATATTTTTAGTTGGCCAATTAATTTCTATTTTTAGTAGAGACGGGGTCTCGCTCTGGCTCAGGCTGGTCTCGAACTCCTGAGCTCAAACAATCGTCTTGCCTCAGTCTCCCAGAGTGCTACGATTACAGGTGTGAGCCACCACGCCCGGCCAGTGTTGTGATTCTTAAGAAAACTGTCCTTTCTAAAGGATTTTAAGATTTACTATTTTGTAAACAAAGCGACCTCGTGAGAGATTAATCAGTGCGCCTCTGTCTAGAAGGTTTGTATCTTCAAAGCCTCAGCCATTTTAAGTCTATACACACAATTAAAAAATAATATACTGCATGTAAAAACGCCGCCCCGCTATTTCTTAAAGGACGCAGCCTGAATAATGTAGGAGTGAGATGACAATATTGACAGTTTGCTTTTTAAAAGGGAGGTGAATCAAATAGAGCAAGACGTTGACAAGGACTGAGTCTGGGTGATGGGCTCGTAGGGGTTTGCTGCGAAACGTCCTCTACGTGTACGCTTAACATCTGGCATCAGAACTAAGAACAAACAGCACTAAGACTCACAGGGACGAGACAGGCAGTCTGGCGGACCCCGCCCGAGCTCGGGCCCTACCTCTGCTGCACGACCTCCGGCCCTACCTCTGCTGCACGACCTCCAGGTCCTCCAGGCGCTCAGGCAGGGCCAGCCCGTTGAGCCACTGCTCCTTCTCCTCCACCCAGAGCCCACAGGCCCCAGCCTCGCTGAGCATGGTGTAGAGCGCCAGGGCTGCTTCCAGGGCCTGCGCGCGCTCGCCTGCCTGGGCCTGCAGGGCCTGGTAGTGCCGCTCCAGGGTGGGCACCCTGCCCTGCACCTCGGGCGTCCGGCTCAGCGCGGGAGGCAGGGCCGCAGCCTGTTCTCTCAAGGCATCCAGGGTTGGCCGGTGGCCCCGGATCTCCTCCTCCAGGGCCCGATGCTGCCTGGCCAGGGCCTGTGTGGAGAACTCGTCATGCCCCAGCTCAGGGCTGGAAACCAGGCGCAGCGCGTCCACCAGCCAGGCCTCCATGTCGTTTGCGTCTGCCTGGAATTGGTAGAGGCTGGCGGCCTGGGACAGCCGCTGAGCGCGTTCCTCAGCCAGGGCCTCCAGCCTCTCCCACTGGGCTTGGAGCTCCGCTGCACGGGCAGCAGCCTGGCCTGCGCCGGGGTGGCCCTCAGCCACCAGCTGCTGGCCCTGCTCCAGGGTGAGCTTCAGGGGACCCAGCCGGCCGCTCATCTCGCCCCGCAGGGCTGTGTGCTTGTTGAGCAGGCGGAGGACGCCGGTCAGGTCCCGGCCGGTCTCGGCTGAGGCCAGGAGGTGCTGCTGCTCCCGCACCCAGGCCTCCGCCTCGCCCACCTCCCAGAGGAAACGCCAGAGGCGCCGCGACTCCTCCAGCCGGGCCCGCCGGGTCGCTGCCAACTCGCACAGTGCCTCGTAGCTCTGCTCCAGGGTGGCCACCCGCTCCGACACCAGCTGCGGGTCACAGGGTCTGTACTCTGAAAAAGTCACAGGAGAGAGTCAGGGCCGTAACCGGGCCTTTGGCTGCTCCTCGTCCACCCTGGTTACTGGTCCCCCGCCCTACTCTCTCAGGCCTCCCTCCCTGGCTCTAGCTCTGTCACTCATTGCCCACCCACCAGCTTTCCTGTCCCCAGGTGTTCCCGGTCTTCGGCCTCAGCTCTTCAAGTTCTCCCTCCCAACGCCCCCTTTCCAGAATCTTCCCCTGGTTTTCACCTTTGCCCGGGTCGCAGAAGCGCAGAGCAGAGGCGCTGACGGCCCGCACCCTCTCAGCCTGCACGGCGATGTCCGCCTCCACCAGCTCGTGCAGCTGCAGCAGGTCCTCCACGCCGGCCAGGTGCTTGCCCAGGTCCGGAGACTGCAGCCGGCCCTGCCGGGCACACGCAGCTTGCCAGTGCCCGCCTCCCCTAGCCAGGTACGCGCGTGCTAACCTCGCTGTGTTTCCCTTCGGGTGGCTCCAGGTGCTGCACCCAGGTGAGCACACCTGCTCACTCACGCACACAGGGACACCCCCGTTTGCCAGGCACACCAGCCCCCTTATCCTCACCTCCCTCCCGCGGAACAACTTTCTCACTAAATCCTGCTGCTGGAGGCTTTGCTATGACTCATCTCAGCCTCGGAATCATCGACTCTCTCCTAGCGTCACAGCTTCGCACCTCCCCCCCTCGTCACCTCAAGCAGCCTCCGGTATCTCTCCAGACCCCTCCCGCACCCGCCTCTTGCCCAGAAGACCGCACTGACTCCAACGGGCTCTCTGTGCCGCTCCACCTCCCTACAAGCCTTCTGCGCACAGTAGCCAAAGTGACTTTTTTTGGAAACAGGAGTCTCACTCTGTTGCCTGGGCTACAGTGCCGTGGTGTCAGCCTCGCTCACAGCAACCTCCAACTCCTGGCCTCAAATGATCCTCCTGCCTCAGCCTCCCGAGTAGCTGGGACTACAGGCATGCACCACCATGCCCAGCTAATTTATATATTTATATATATATATAAAAGTCGTCCAGCTAATTTCTTTCTCTTTTTTTAGTAGAGACAGGGTCTCACTCTTGCTCAGGCTGGTCTCGATCTGAGCTCAAATGATCCGCCCGCCTTGGCCTCCCAGAGTGCCAGGATTACAGGCGTGAGCCACCGCGCCAGCCCAAAGCAACCTTTTGAAAAGGCAGAATCCCATCTCTCCCTTTCAAAACCGAATCCAAAGGCTCCTTGTTACCTTGAATAGAATCCAAACCGCTGGACCAGGCCTGTAAGGCCGCAGGGAGCTGGCCATGCCCCCATCTCAGTCCATGTCCCCTCCCCTCACACTGACAGCCCTCAGGATGGCCCCTGATCTGGGACACGCCGCACTTGGACAGGCGAGGACCTCTGCCCAGCTGCTGCGCCTGCCCGGAAAGTTCTCTCCCCAGGTCTCCCTGTGCCGGCTCCCTATGTCATTCAGGTCTCAGCCTCCCTGTGTCATTCAGGTCTCAGCGAGGCCACGCCGATCACCCTGTCACACCACCTGCTCCAATGTCCTCATCGGGTTTCTGCCCGCCTGCTCTTCTGTTTAAGGAAATGTCTGTGAGTTTTTTCGCCAGTCTCCTCCTGCTGGACCGTGAGCCCCACGGGGACAGGGCCTTGTCTGCTCTGTGTGTTGGCGCTGGGGATGGCCCTGCACCAGTACACGCTCTACAGAGACTGGCTGTGCAAACAGGCGATGGCACTGGTGGCCACGCCCCTGTTCTCGAGCATCTCAAGCCCCCAAGAGCCTCCCACTGGTACCTTCATCTCTTCCATCCAGTCCATGAGGTAGAACAGGTCCTGAAACACCTTCTGCAGCTCCAGGTTGAGGAGGAGCCGCTCCCGCCGGGCAGCCACCATCTGCCGCAAGAAGTCCCAGAGCCGCGCCACATTGTGCTGCCGGGCAGCGATGCGCTTGATGTCGTGGTAGCGCTCGGCCGCCAGCTCCGCGGCCACAGCGTCCACCGCCTGCACCCTGCCACTGTAGGCCACGATGTCCGTCTCGATGGCTTCGTGCTTCCGCACTGCTGCCTCGACTGCGGCCAGCTCCAGCCCAAAGTTGTCCTGCGCAGGAGGCCGAGGGGAGGGGGGAGGGGCTCGAGAACCAGGGGACAGTGCCTCTGCTCTCTCCTTCCTCCCCCAGAGCACCCCAGAGCTGCAGGACGCCAACTCCACACGGTGGCTCAGTTTCCTCTCCATCCCTCCCATCCTGCCTCACCTCTTTCCCGTTCAAACCCCTGGCCCTGGTTCATGGGTCTCCTGGTCATTTTACCTGTGATGGGTTTCACGTTTCATCCCCTCTCCTTATCCACCACCATCTCTCCCCCAACTCTGCCAACCAGCCAGGAAGTCCCCAGAGCCCCGAGCCCTACCTGGGACACAAGGCGCTGGTTCTCGCTGAGCCAGGTCTCCCGCATGGCAGCCTTGCGGTCGAAGCGGGCAGCCAGCTGCTCCAGCTTCTCCTGGCGGATCAGCTCCGTGCGCAGTGCCAGCTCGCGCTCGTGCTCGGCTTTCTCAAGCCGCTCCCAGGCCTGCGCGGTGGGGACAGATCAGTGAGAAGGGCCGGGGCAGGCAGGGGTCAGGGGACTGGGGGCACATGGGAAGCCCCACGGACGCTCAGTCCAGTCAACCCACGGAAGGCAGGGAAAACTCTCCTGCAGGAGGGCGGGAGGGGGCAGGAAGAACGGAAACCGATTTGTTTGTGGTGGCAGGACTGTGGGCGAGCCTTACTTTCACTAATCTTACAACATTGTGGGGAAAAATGAAATAAAATTAGGGATGGCGAGTTGGGAACATGTTGAGTAAGATAATAGACTCGGGGTGTCATTTCTTTGCGTGACCCTGCGTGGAGAGCAAGACAAGGGGTGCGTGAGGGCAGCCAGGCGGAATGGCTGAGTTCCGGCCAAGGCAGCGGGGTGTGGAGGAGGTCGCGACTGGCCCCAGGCCGCAGACCTTGTTGATGTCGGAGATGAGCCGGCCCTCGCGGGGAGTGTAGACCTTCTGGTTGTTGGCCCGCAGCTTGCTCTGGATGGTGAAGAGCAGCACCTCCAAGTTCCCCTTCTCAGTGAACCTGGGGCAGGGGGCCGGGTTGGGGTCAGAGTCAAAGGCCGCGAGGGGCACAGGGACGCCGCACTCTTCAAAGTGGAGTGTCCTGCATTATTCTTCTTCTCAGAAAAGCAACACACGCTTTTTGTGTGAAAGCCAGAAGATACTGGCAAACCAAAAAGAACATCATTTCAAAGGCACCCAAACCATCCGGAAACGACCCTTTTGTGTGCATGTATTTGATGTTGGTTTCGCAGGGACGGGGTCAGAGGGCAGCCACAGCTAACATTTATCAAGGACTCGCCGGGCCCTGCTCCCAGAGCTTCACGTGTGTTAACTCGCTTGCTTGTCACTGTTATCTACACGCTCTGACTAGCATCTCCATTTTCCAGGTGAGAAAACTAAGAGAAAGGCTGCATAAGCTGCCCAACACCCACGAATGCTAAGTGGCACAGCCAGGATTTGAACTCAGGCTCTTTGAACCCGGACGCTTAGCGCTTGGTCCTCTGCTGTCTACGGGAACTCTTCTGTAACCTGTTCCTTCACTTATTTATCATGAACATCTTTCCATGTCAATGAATGTATCTTTGATATTATTTTCAGTGGCTGCCCACTGACTTGTATTTCTTTCGTACAGGTCTTGCCGGTGATCATCCTTGAAGCTACATCTTTGTTTAACGCCCAGTAGAGGAGTGAAAAGGGCACCCCTCAAATCATTTCCTGGAAGGTGAAGGAACGGTTGTTCTCTGGGCTAATACTAGTTTGGGGCATGACCTTTACTGACTCCAAAAGAGCTCAATAAACAGAAGTTCTAACATGTACTGTATAGCATTGCTTGACAGCGATTCCACACTAGAAACAGTTAATTGCTAGAATATGTAGATGATAAGAGCCTCTACAATGCTCAGGTGACCAGCCACACCCTGTGCTGCAGCTGCCACCTGGCCTTCAGGCCCAGTCCCTATTCTGGGGTCGGTGGCTGCGACACCCCAACCTGTGGTCCTATCTGAGGGACTGCACCGACTCAACCTACCATAGCAATACTTTCCACAGCATGATTTTTTAAAATGGCTAATCATTCAAAAAGATGATTTTGTAACAACTACGGTGTTTGGATGCTTCTGGTGCGTTGAGCTGGGGAAACAAGCCCCCGATGCATGTGTGTGCTGCCAAATTTCCCTCCCGAAAGGCTGCCCTCATTTGGGTTTGCTCTCCCTCGAGCACGGCTCGGGGCAGGCGTGCCTCAGTGGGGTGGTGGCCAGGGGACACCTACTTGGGAGGCTTCTCCACGGTGCGGTAGGAATTGAAGGACTGCAGCTGGTTCTGGACGCCGCTCAGGGAGTTGGCTAGCTGCCGGTCATTCAGGGTCACAATCATTTGCTCAATCCACTGCAGAAGCTCTGAGGCCAGGGACTCATACTTCTCCACCAGGCGCTCTGCCTCCATGGCGTGGTCCAGCACCTGCCGGACAGAAAGGGATTGGGGGTCCCACCCACAGGGCTCCTGGCCCAGTCCTGTAGCTGCACCCACCCCCGCTTTATGGGAGTAAGAGCCCGGGCCAGCCCTCCTCTGGCCTTTCTGCTACTGTCCCATGGTGTGGAGTACCTTTCCAATTCTTTTGCCTTCCACGGCCAAGGCCTTCATCTTGGAGAAGTAGTGGTAGTAAGTAGCCACGTACGTGATGATGGATTTCTCATCCGGCTGGTCCACATTCACATCTGAGGAAAAGGACCACATGGGTCAGGCAGAGATTAGAAACTGCCTCCCAGAAGTACACCCTCAAACTGGAATCGCTTACCCCTAGCCTGGGGCACTCCTAGCCCTCCAAGGCCGACATCTTTGCAGCCCCTTTTATTTATTTATTTATTTTGAGACAGAGTCTCACTCTGTTGCCCAGGCTAGAGTGCCGTGGTGTTAGCCAAGCTCACAGCAACCGCAAACTCCTGGGCTCAAGCAATCCTCCTGCCTCAGCCTCCCGAGTAGCTGGGACTACAGGCATGCGCCACCGTGCCTGGCTAATTTTTTTTCTATCTATTTTTAGCTGTCCAAGTAATTTCTTTCTATTTTTAGTAGAGACGGGGTCTCGCTCTTGCTCAGGCTGGTTTCGTACTCCTGATGTTGAGCGATCCTCCCGCCTCGGCCTCCCAGGGTGCTAGGATTATAGGCGTGAGCCACCGCGCTCAGCCTTTGCAGCCCCTTTTAGACCAAAATGACAACTGAACCATTTGAATTAAGAAGGCACAAAAGCACCTCACTCTTTTGTTGTTGTTGTTTCTCCTAGAAGTGAGAAGGGCCCTCCAAGCAGAGGACAGGAAACACTGTGCCTAGCCTGCTTCCATCGCTTCGTAGCAGATGTGTGTCGTTCTGCACTCAGAGGGCACAGGAGATGGCGCAACAGGGGAGGTGGAAAACAGAGAGCAAAGGGCCAAGATCACAGTCCCCCCCCAGGGAGCGTAGCAGGAGCACTTCCAACAGGGGAGTCACTTGTTCCCTCTCTCCTCTCTTTTCTGGCTGCACCGAGACTGCTCTCAACTCCCCCAGAGGCAGCCGAGGAGACAGGCTCTGGCACCAGACTGCCCAAATTCGAATCTCAGCTCCACCAGCCGTATGACCCTGGGCCAGTCACGGAACCTCTACAGGGCCCCGTCTTCTCTTCCGTACATGAGGATAAGGATGGTACGATTTCAAAGGGGTGTTGTGAGGATTAAATTAACTGAAGCATGTCAAGTGCAGAGCCAGGTACAAAATAAAAGCCCAGGGGCAGTTACTGATCCCATCAGTGTTCCTGTTAGAACCACAGGAGCCAACCGGCAGGGTCAGTTGACATTGGCCAGTCCTGGGTGAGACCTCAAGGTCGGGTAGGTTAATTTGGAATCCTAGAATTTTAGAATGAGAAGGGCCCTTAGAGACCTTGCAGACCAATCCTCTCATTTTAGAGATGTGTACCCTGAGCCACAGAGAGGCCCAGCAACAGGTGCTCAGTCATAGGGCTCCTCTGTGCCTGGGCTGAGACACGACCACACAGCCCGGGGCTCTTGCTGGCACAGGCTGCCTTTCTTCCTGCAGCCTTTTTTTTTTTTAATTGAGATATACTTTTAATAACTATAGAATTCACCCTTTCAAAGTATATAACCCAGCGGTTTTCAGTATATTCAAAAAGTTCGCAGCCATCACCACTATCTAATTCCAAAACGTTTTTGTCTCCCACCCTAAGAATCCCCCATACCTGCTGACAGTTACTCCCTGTCCTCCCCTCCCCTGGCCCCTGGCAACCACGGCCTTCTGTCTCTGTCCTACCAGCTCTTCACAGAGCTGTGCCCCACCTTCCGGATCCAGCAGTTTGGTCAGTCCCAGCTCCTTCTCCGCAAGGTTGAACGCGTTCTGCAGGTTGTAGTGTGCGTTGCACTTCTTCAGGGACTCAAAATCCAGCAGGTCTGGCCTGGGTGGGGAGGGAAGGCACCAAAAGCACTTGAGATGCTAAAGAGGAAGAGCAGATCCACCGCAACCTCTGTCCCTCAGCCACCGACTCGATTTTGTCCAGCAGCAGGCATGCCGCCCCCACCACTCCCCACCAACCCCACCCTGGCTTCCTTCCAGGTTCCCTGTGTGGCACTCCCCCCCCCCCACTCTGCTCTGCTCCGTGCTCATTCCTGACAGCTGCTGTGTAGCTCATCTCATGTCTTTGGCTACACGTGTGTGCGCCCTGGGTCCTGAACCCGCCCTACACCTCCGACATGCCCACGAACCCGTCTCCTCACCGGTGCTTGTGCACGATGGCGTTGAAGGCCAGTCCATCTCTCCAGCTGGTGGTGAAGTTGTGCACATTGACGTTGGGATACCTACAAACAGAGACCAGGAAAAACAGTGAGTGGGGCCGAGCCCTGGTCTGTGACTCAGGGACAGTCACCAGCTCATGGTTCCCGGCACCCGTCCTTCCTTTACTGCACAGCCTCGGGGCAGCCGACCCTCCAGGGCCACGCTCCCGGGGGCTTTCTCACCCGGCGGTCTTCATCTGACACCACAGCAGCAGGGCATCCTTGGCTGACTTCTTCTCCTTGTTGTCTTCTGTCTCCACACTGATGTCCTGGATCTAAGAAGGAAGCAAGCAGGGTCCTCACCTCCTGGACAAGGGCTCCTTGTGTTATCAGAGACTCAGATAAACATCGGGAAGTTGCTCTTTAGACTGCTGCAGTAGGGGTTATCAGACAGAGCCTGGGGCCTTTCCAAGCTGGGCTAGTAGCCAAGAAACACTGGCCCCAAGAGATCTGAGGCAGCAGATTGGGACAGGCCACCGGAAGAATGGAAGTGCCCCCGAGCTCCTCCAGGTGGGGACTTCAGGTAGGTGAGGGAACACTCTCTGAGAGCTGGCTTGCAAAGGTGAAGCTGATGGACCTCTGCTTAGGGCCAGAAGGAGCAGAAAGGTTAACCTGGGGAGGAAGGGGATGATGAGGAACCTTGAGATGGCACAGGGACACTGGAGCATGAGAAGGAGCAGGGTGACTGTTATCTTGAGGGAGGCGGAGGAGTAGGGCCAGGACCAGACCCCTCACACACTCCTGAATTCCCCATGGTGAAGGTCCAGTTTATAAAACTTCCAGTCCCTCGTGGACCAGCCTGCGGTCCTACTGCAGGGGACCAGGCCGCAGGGAACTTGCAGCAGTAGTGTGGCCAAACTGGTTTCTACCCTGTTTAATGAGGCAAGTCCACTGATCTGGTGCTTGGATATTGCTGCAATGGAAAACTGCTACAGAAGGTTCTAAACTCTCTGTTTTTGTATTTATCGTGTCACAGGCCAGCAGGAACAGTCTGTGGTGCGGAACCGGTACATGAACCACACCCTGTGTCACCATGTGCTCGGGTACCTGGAATCGAAGGATGATAGTCCAGACCAGCCCGAGAGTCAGGCGGTGGTTTCCGTCCACGATGTCATGGGAGCCCATGTTCTCCAAGTGCACTTTCTGCTCCTTTAGGAACTGCAGCGCTTTGTCCACGTTCTCTAGGCAGTGGATCCGCATGCGACCCTTTGTGGGCTTCGGCTGTGCAGGGACAGGGCACAAGGCATGGGACCAGGGGTCTCTCCTTTCTACCCAGCCTTCCCAGGGCCTTGCTTTGCACACTTTCCCCATGACCTCCCTCAGGAACACAGGGACAACCCCAAGGCGGAGGTTACCGATGAGGCTTGGGCAGATTAAGATTCCCAAGGGAATTAATTGCGCCCAGAGTGGGTGGGAAAAGAAATGTTTTCAATGGGGCCACTGTTCCTGTCTCCACGAAGCCATGCTCCCATGTAATAATCCATGCAGCACAGCCTCTCAGAATGAACCCATCCTCTGAGCAGAGGGAGCCACTGCCTTCTGTCCTGTGCTGTCACTCTCTCTGAGGGCCATTCCCCCAGCTAGTCCCCTTGGCCACTGTTTCTAAGGCTTCTTCTTCCCTCCAAGGCCACAGCTCACCAGTGTCTCTCCCGAGAGCACCTCAAGGAGCCTCAGGAGGTTGCGTCCATCCCGGAGGTCGCTGTACAGGTCTCCTACCCGGCACGTCACCCGGGCCAGGTGCGAGTTCACCCACTTGGTGAAGGTTTTCTTCTGCACGGCTTCTCGCTCATCTGTGGCAGCAACATGGGGTCATTTCTGTCCTTTAAGTACAGCACGCCTGCTTCTAAACACCATTGCGGGGCGGGGGTGTCTGAGAGATGGGAAGTGAGGTCTAGGGAGGAGGAGGGGAGGGAAGATGGCCAAGAGGAAAACCCATAACTTGAAAAGCTGGGAAATAAAGAAATTGGAATGAGCTCATAAGCAAGGTCAGGAACAAACATGAGAGACAGAAAACAAGCACTGAAAGGACGAAAGACACTGGAAAGTGTGGGACATGCAGAAGTTCCTTCATCCACCAGAGCCCAGATCCCCACTGTAAAATGGGCATACTGCTTTCTCTTCAACAAGCTCCTGTGTTGATTAAATGAGATAATGTGGATCAAACACCTAGTTGGCACCTGGCACAAAATGGCTCCTGATGAACGGCTGTTACAAAGGCGCTCTGACCCCAAGGCGGGACGGAGAGGTGCTCGGACCGTCGGAGGCATGGCTGTTCTCTTTCAGTTGTGGACAAAGAGGGGGTGTGGACTGAAATGACAGCAGTGGCTCTGCCAAGCGGCCATTAAGACTTGACAGTATAGTGGCTGCGGCCTCCTGAGTCAGCCTGCTGTCCTTGGGTAGTGTAAAGAAAGGCTGGGTCGCACTGTGCTTCTGGGGTGGGTACATTCAGTTGGCTGAATGTGGATGCCCGTCCAGGACGCAAACATCCCAACGCTAAGAAAAACAAGAGCTTGAAAGTCGGGTCTGGGAAAACAGTGAGCCCAGGAAACAGCAGGGGGCGGGGGAGCCAGGCGGAGTCAGATGTCAGTCTCCAAAAAAGTTGGGAAACGCCTGGCAGCCTGGTCCACAGCGGGAGCTACTCCAGGGGGCATGCTGTTAGGCTCCACAGAGAAATAAATATGAGAATTTTTATAAATGAAGAAGTGGGGGAAAAGGCTCAAGCCATCAGTGCTCCGGTCGCTAGGATTTCTGCCAGTTCCCCACAGGGAGCCCAGGTAAGGAGCCCGTGCAAGTGGTCAGGGCCTGAAGAGTCACTTTTGTTTCTGTCTCAGCACCAGCATCTCAGAAACCGAAAGCCTCATGCCTTAATCTCACATTCCTGTGCACCTCGCCCATGAGACGGCAACACGCCCACACCCATTCCTGTCTCTTACCTCCAACCCCTGTGCCCATGCCAAGCCCGGGGTCCTAATCACTGCATGGGACAGCCCCATGTTCTGTAGCACCTGTGGAACCAGGGGTGTCCCTGGGCCTCCTTATAGGGTCTCCAGGCCCTGCCTGAGCTGGGGCTGGCCCGGATCACAGGCCATTGCTGCACTGCGGGACTGCCCTAACAGTAGGCACGCTGGGTGAGGCCACTTCGGCACACAGGTGGAACAGAAGGGGACGACACAGAAACAGTGGCAGCTAGGAGACAAATGGGCAAAGCCAAGCCCCAGAGATGGGGTGTAAGGTCACAAAACTCCCACAACATCCCCAAATCCTTACACGCACACACCACAAAACATAGCGACTGCCAGAAACACACTTAAATATTTGTGCCAGGATGAACACAGGCCTGCTCCGACGTGCACCTGAGCCTACTTGCACAAGCCCTCTCCTTTGACACACTCCCCCAGTTCACACACACACACGCTGCCTCCTCGCACACCCAGCCCACTCAGGACCCCTGGGTGCCTTGGCCTCTGGCTCACTCGCCTTCTTCCCTAACTGTCCCATCGCCAGACCCACGGAAAGGGTGCTGCCTTGGTGGGACTGCTGTGGCCTCCCTGGTGGCTGACGCCGAGCTCCACACTCCCTCAGCGGCTGGGCACCTCTGCCCCACGCAGCGCCCGGGGGCACCTCGCAGTCACACTCACCCACGCCAGTCGCTGCCAGGGGGTCAGAACCTTTCCCAATTCCACCAACATCTGTGTATTTTCTGGCTACTTGCAATTATATCCTCTGAGCCCTATCACGTTGCTTCCCAACACAAACACCTGAATCGTGGAAAAGTGTCCCCCCCCCAGCGCTTTGCTGTGGCCCCTCTCCCCCGACCCGGTCCCCTCTGGCTATCCCCACTGGGCTCCCCTCTGCCTCACCTTGGAGCTGCTTGAAGCGTCCTTCCAGCACGCTGGCGTACTGAGAGGGGTTGATGAAGGCGGCAGGCGAGAGCAGGAGGCCCCCAGGGCTCTGAGACCCCTCCACCGCCTCATAGTAAAACTCGCCGGCCGCGTGCAGGCCGTTCCCGTGCACCCTGCCCACGCCGTTCCCATTCATGGTGCGTGCCACCTGCTACAGAGCCCGCGGCCCAGAGTCCATGCTCTCGCGCCGGGAGCGCGGCCAGGCTCTGTGCCCCACTGGAGCAGTGCTGGGGGTCCCGGCACTCTAGGACCGTGGGAGTTTCAGGGAGAGGGAAGAAAGAGTTAGGGGGTGTCTGAGCGCCTGAGATGAGCAAGCGGGCACACCTGGCCGTGGCGAGAGGAGACAGAGGCAGCTCTAGACAAACAGGTCGGACAGTGTCGGGGGAGGGGTGGGAGGCGGAGCGCGGCCGGTGGGGGCAGGGCCCGGCCCTGCGGGGGCGGAGGCAAGAACTGCCAGCGCCTGCAGTCCCGCCCATTGGGCCCCTAGTTGCCTAAGAATACAGACCGTGAGAGGGGCCCCCAAAACAAGTCTTGCTTCCCAAGGTTTGCAGGCCCTGCAAGGATGGCCACTCTCAGGGTGGCTCTGGCAGGTCCTTCTCCAGGACGTGGGCAGGCTTTGATCCCCAGCTCAGAAACAGAAAGAGAAAGATCCTCCAAGAGGCAAAGCCAGGCACTGTGCTAGGTGTTTGCTTTTGTTGCCTCATCTGTGGAACAGGCATTTATTGTCCTGGCCACTTGTTTGCTATCATCACCTCCAGTGCCACCAGGGCCTTCCTCAGCCAGGCCACAGATACACCCCCATGCTGGGCACATCTCCCAGATGCCATTCCTAGCTCTTGCTGGGATTCAGCTTTTGTCACTTGCAGCCTACACTTGCCCCTCCCCATCTTCATTCGTTCACTATTTATTAGGCACCACCAGTTTGAGGCACAGTGCTAGGGAGCACCCATGCAGAGACAGCACAGTGTAGTGGTGGAGATAAATGAGATCATGGAGTGACACATGTGTGCACAGACATGGCAGTAGTCCTGGGTGGCATGTGTCATATCTGTGCAGACATGGTGATAGTCCTGTTCAGACATGGTGACAGTTTTGGGTGGCATGTGTCATGTGCACAGAATGGTGGCAGTCCTGGGTGGCATGTGTCACATCTGCACAGACATGGAGACAGGTCTGGGTGGCACATGTTGTACACACACAAATATCATGACAGTTCTATAGGCTACATGAATCCAAAACCAGGGTACCAGGAAACCTTCCCCAAAGAGATGACATTCTCCATAACCCACATTTCCTCTCTTCTCTGGTCTATAGAAGCACCGATGTGGGTATTTCTCAAGACAGCCTGAAGATCCAACCGGAAGGAAAGCGGCCCCAGAGAAAATGAGAAGGTGTCACCAAGAGCTATGGCCACCACATAGGGGTCCTCGAAATGGTGCCAAGTTGGCTCAAAAGAATTATCTGGGGAGTATTTGAAAAGCCCTGAATTCTCGATCATATGTTTAAAGATTCTAATTCACTGTGTCCTGGGAGGAGCTTGGGAACCTGTGTCTGCAAAAAAAAGGTCCCTGGGTGATGCTGTAAAACATGTGGCCAGGTTCAGGAACCTCCCCTCTGAGTCTCTTTTTCCAGGGGCCAACCCCACCCCCATCCCCCCACCCCCGGGAGCACCACCTCCCAGGTGGGAGTAGTTGGAACTTCTCCCACTGAACTGGGCTGGGTGGCCTGCGGGTCAGTGGCAATGACAAGGGTGGGATGCAAGAGCGCAGCCAGACGGGATGGGTGGCCTTGGGGTGTGTGGGTGACTCAGCCCCACGCCAGCCGCTGGTGGTGTCAGGTGGCAGCCGCACTCTGATTGCCATGACAACTCCTCCCCCGAACCGCAGGGAGGCTGTCAGACGGGTTTGTTTGTGCTCAGAGGAGCCGAAGGGGAGAGCCCTGGCTGCAGGGAGGGGCAGCGGCTGAGGCAGGCGGAGAGCGAACCCGGGAGAAAGGGCGGCTACGGAAACCGGCTGCGGGCAGAGGGAACCTGCTTCAGGGAACAGGTAGATGAAATAATGGGAGTGACAGGCGGCAAGTGGAAGGAACAGGTGGGGAGGGAGCGGCGAGGATAATGGACAAGCAGGGAGAACAGGTGTGGGAAACAGCAGTGGAAATCAAGGAAGGCACACAGGGATGGAAGGCGAGGGAGAGGTGGGTGGAGACAGAAGTGACAGCCAGAGTAAGTGCAAAAGGATGAAAGGAGGTGACTCAGGGCTGAGGCCAGAGCAGGAAGCTGTTTTAGCCATCTGAGCCAGTCCAGGGGTCATTTTGGCTTCTCTATGCTTGGGGAGAGAGGCTGGGGAATGTTCTGGATTGCGTGAAGTTTGTTCTTGAGGCTGGATTTGGGGACCAGGGGCTTGATAGGGTGCTGTGGGTTTCCCACTTTAGTGCCGCTGCGTAGAAAGTTAGTCTTCCCAGAAAGTCACAGGGCTCTTCACAAGCCTCCTCCAGCCTCCTCCTCTGCATCTCCCTGGGCCCTCCCCGGACCTCACCTGCCAGGGCCTTAATGCGAGACCTCTCAAAGAGGCGGGCAGAGCTGCTGTCATTGTCCCAGTCCGAGTCAGGCAGGTCCCAGCGGTTGTTGATGTCGCTGTACTGGCCCTGGATCTCTAAGCTGTCAAAGTCTGTGGGCGACAGAGTGCTGCTCATGGTGGTGGGTGGCTTTCTGCTCCTGCAAGGAGAATGCTGGTGGTGAGGGGTGTCCAGGGGCCACCAAGCCCTCCACTCACCAGGTCATTCTATCTTCCTGCCCTCACTCTGCTGGACTCTCCTTGTGGCCAGAGCTTGTGGTTGTTTGGGGTTTTTTTTGTCGGTATAAATCAGCCCCCAGTGGGAGGGAGGAAGCCACCTTGGGGAAGCCAAGGGACAGGAATATAACAGAAGCACACAAAAGAAAGAGAAATTCTGCCAGTGGACTGACTTTTGCCCAAGCTTCCATATCAACTCTTGCCTGAGTCTCCAGGCCACCCTCCTCCAAAACCACATCATTATCCAGGTGTGAGAGGTGGCGGATCATCTGCAGAGAGGGGAACTGCTTTCTGCAATACTCTGAAACCAGTAAATTTATGGAAACAGCTTACCTTATAAGTTATATAATGTTTTTGCTACCTATTTGTATACCTGACATAAGCAGGTACTCAACAAATATTTGTTGGATATCTGGCACAGAAAAAAAATTAGGAGCACATGGAGTGAAGCAGGAAGGCAGCCATGTCTCAGCAACCGGGGGACAGGGAGGTGGGGTGGGGGCTGAAAGGATGGCTGCTGGGCACTTCAGGACAGCAGTGTGTAGCCCAGGGCAATGTAGGCAGCAAACACAGGCCGCCTTGGGCAACAATGAGCAGAAATTGGCATTCTTTCCTTCCAGTTCTACAAGCTGTTCCGAGCCCCTACTCAGCCCAGACAGCCTCCTATACCTTGTAGGCAATTTGAGATGAAAAGACCTGGATTCTGCTCTTGAGCTAAAACAAATCTCATACACCAGAAAGACTGATGTATTGTGAGGCAAGTATGGATAAAGGGCCCAGGAGCTCAAAGGGGGACCCAGTAGGGTTCTCTGCCCTTTGTTTCTCTGTTTGCTACAAGGAATATTTAGTCAGTGCTCAACATATGTCAGCTGTGATGTGACCCTGCCATTTACATGCCTTGCCTCAACACATCCCCGCCTTGGGGTTAGGGTCCACTATTGTCCCCATTTCATAAATTTCATAGACGAGGAAGCTGCACTGAAGAAGTTAAGCCGCTGGTTCAAGGTTACACAGCTGGAAGGAGCAGCACTGGGTTTTCAAGTAAAGTTCGTATGGACTCTGGCAGACAAGTTCTTAATCACAGCCTCTCAAACAGAGAACACATACGGGTTCCTTGATCATCCCAGAGCCCTCTCGTGCTCCCCTGGAGGGATCCACACCCAGTGCTCCCTTCTAGGGCCCAGGGTAAGGAAATATGGACCATGTGCACTTGCCAGCGCTACTTATGACTCTAACGTACGCAAGGCAACTCTGTCCTCAGAATTAACAAATAAGGTTCAGATTAGCTGCTGGGGATTTTAAAAAACTGCTACCATCCAAAGTTCTTGTGTAATTCAGCAGCCATTCAAGGGAATGGGGGGCGGGGGTGGAGCTGGGTCTGTAACTTAACCCCAAATTCTGCATTTCTCATTTTCCTAGTACCCCTCAAATACAAAGACATTTTAATCCTGAACACTACTCCCTAGGGCCAGGGCTGTGATCTTGGCAGTTTCTGGATCTGGAAAGGAAGAAGGTATGAAGAGCTTCTTGTGAGGTTTGGGCAAGGAAGAAGGGATGGATGGTGAGACCAGGGTAGGCAGGGAGGCGGGTTCCCATGGGCACACAAAGGCAGAGCTCAGCTTCTCTCATTAACTGGTTCCATGAAGCTGAACCTGACCAGCTTGAAGGCCAGGGTTGTCCACCCCTCCCCTTTCTCACAAAGAAAAAAATGCACACCAAGATTTTCCTGGGAATGGCATTAATGAGATGCAAGGGAGCTAAGGCGTAAGGTTCTTAGATTTGGGCTTTTATTCCCCGTAGTAGGAAAGGGAGCTTCATTCCTACTAGGCCTAGGACTCCTTTCTTGTTCAAAATCCACCATTTCCCCCAACAGATTCTGTGAATTTGTTCTGTAAATATTTACATAAAAATAAATTCTAGGGCAGAGTTGAATCACTCTGAGCAAAGAGTGCTGTGGGCAAGGCATGACCGTAAGTAAAGTTACCTAATACTCTCAGCTGCTAGACGGAAGCGGTCCATGCGAGGGACCAACTCTAATTCCATTTCTCTCTGCCCTTCACATTAGGGCGTCCTAACCAGCAGCTGCGCTCATGCTTAGCTCTGGGACTGACATTTCTGGCACTCAAACTTCCTGTACAGACTTCCTCACTAAAACACCTGTGTCCAATGACCCCTGACCTTTGGTTCCATGACTACTTTTTCTTTTTACTAGGAGTCACAAACCTACTAAGGCCAGCCCCCAGGAGTGTTTTATTTGACCAACAAGCTGTTTTACAATAACTGCTTTTGGATTTCTTTGGATGGGCCTGAGCTGCCCATTTCTCTATAGGTCCTACCATTCCCTTTTGTCTCCTATCCAGCCACTTCACATATCTGTGTTACTTGCCAGGCCCCTGAAGACCTCTGAGGTTTTCAAACCCTGCCTTATATCTTAGACTCCACAAAGAGCAGAAACTTAAGGCAGCTAACCATCTGACCCTGTCTCCCAACTACTGTATCCCTGAGGTCCCCGTAAGTTACACAGAACCCAAATATGTACTGCTTTGACTTCTTTTTGGTGCTCCAACTGGGGTCCAGGCATCGATTCAGACCTTCCAGGGAGGTCCAGCTGTTAGAACCTCTCTGTGGAATCCTGTAATTCCTGGGAGAAAGTATGGAGCTGGAACCTCTTCCTGCCCCAAATAAAAATTAGGCCGTTTAAACACTCTTCTCACCGAATCAAGTTTGAGGCATATATGATTTGCATCCTGAGTTTCCAGGGATGCTGTGAGATAGATAAGGAACCAAGATGGCACTTCTGTCCTTAAATCACAGACCCCCATGATGTCACGATTCCAGAGGCTTTATACCCATAGACCTCCATGTGAGTGGTGCTGACCATGGCCAGCACCACGTCCTATGCTTTGGTTTCCAAGCATTCTGGCCCTGCAGTCCCCTGTTCTTTTGGACGATATGCTCCATTCTCTGTCTGTGTTCCCTGATGCCACCTCCAGATTCCTATAGTTTTCTATTCGAGTTTCTCCTATATAGATCCTGCCCTGGTGTCTTTTCACTGAGCAGATCACTGCTCACCTATGACCTGGGTCTCCATGCTCACACTTCCTTAGTGTATCAGCAGCCCCCCAGCAAGCCCCCAGCCTCATGACCCCCGTCTCTCTCAATGCTGGAGAATCCTCAACCTTATTCTCCTCCGTGGATTCCGGAAGTATGGCAATGGGGCGGCACAGTAGCTAATCCAGATTACAGTTTCCCCACTACCTTATTCTTAGCCACTGACCTCGAGGCCAGGCCCAAGTAGCTTACAGAGTCAGTGCCAGAATAATGCCAACCCCGCAAGCTGCAGGTTTGGGGTCCCACCGTAATCTACACCCAAGTGCTGCCCAAGCGCTGCCGGACGGGACTTGGCTCAGCCACATGCCATGCCGCGCTGATCCATCCCCAAGGGCAGCTGCCCTCCTCCCCTTTCCTCTGTTTTAACTGGGTGTTAAGCTAGAAATCCTATCCCGCAGGCTGGAGGCTGTCTTGTACCCTGATTCCTCCTCTCACCACATCCTGCCCCTTATTAATTCTTTACCTCCCTCAGAGAGAGTCGATCATGCCCTCCCCTGTGCTCCCACAGCACTCCGGCAGCAGCTAGTACTGCACTTATCACATCGTATTAAGGTTCGCTGTTTATGTGTCTCCCTGCCCGCTCCACTTTTAACTCATTGAGGACAAGGGCTGTGTCTTACTCCTTTTTGTGTTTTCTGGGCCCAGTACGATAGGTATTCAATAAAGATATATTGAGTGAATTGACCATAATTCATTTTTTTGGCAGTCAAATTAATGTCTTAGATCTAAATTCTAATTCTAATTAATCTAATTCTCTTAGATCTAAAGAGAAGCTCAGGGAAAGAATGGAAATGGGGTCAAAAAAGACCTGCTCCTGAGCTAGAGTACTTTAAGAGTTGAACTCTATAGCTCAGGACCAGGGATTCTTAAACTTGCATGAATCACAATGACCTGGAGGGCTGTTAAATCGAAGACCACTGAACCCTTTCCCCAGAGTTTGATTTAGTAGCTCTGGGGTGGTGCCTGGGAATTTGTATTTCTTACCCATTCCCAGGTGACACTAAAGCCAAGGCTCTTGGGACCACATGTTGAGGGCCACCATTGTCCAAAGATGTGAAGCAGCTAGAATTGGCTAGAGGAGCTATGAGGACTGATAAGACACAAGGTTTCAGGGGTGAGTGTGAACCTGGGTTACCTTCTAGGTTTGTGGTTAAACTTAAATATCCCTTCCCCTCAGGAGCCTCAGGCGATGAGGGAGGAAGATGAAGATGGAGTGGGCACTAGAGCTAATGACAGAAATAGAGCTGATGCCCCAGAACAGGGAATCCCAGCAGATGAAGGAGGATGTTGGTTGGGGCTGGAGAAGCTACGGGAAGGCAGAGCCGAATAAATGACAGCGGGAAGAAAGCTAGATTAGAAGAAATGGGGACTTTGGCAAAGTAAAAATCTTATTTGCCTCAGAGTATAAATGGGTGGACTGGCAGAGAGATAAAAGGAAAAAGAAATCACAAATAAACTCAGAGCTCCTAGGAAGGCAAGAGAAAGATGCTTGCAGGGCAGAGAAAGGAAAAGGCAGGAAAAACAAAACCCCAGCCACTGCTCCGGCTGTGCTCCTGATAAAGCACAGGACTCCCCTCCAAGGAATTTAGGGACTGGGCTGAAGAGGTGGACGAATTTTTCCATTCTCTCCTTTAGAAACCTTCTCTTACGGCAGAATTATTCTAATTTTCACAGCCTTGCTACTGGCCTTCCCCAGGCCAGGGTTACATCAGTTTCTCCCAGGGACAACTCTAAGCTCCATCTTACCTTCTCCTTGCCTAATTCTTTGCTCTTCTGAATATGCCAAGAGGTTGCCCCACACCTCAAGCTAGGGCACCGATTTGGAACTCACTCTGCCCTCCTCACCCTCAAGGAAACCGGGTTTGTGGACACTCTACCCGTGCCCGCACCCTCCTAGCTCTCCACGCCGGGACCGTGGCTGCCCCGGAGGGGGCGGGCAGCCGAGAAGCGGCCCCGGACGACACCCGGCGGCGAGCCTGCATGTCAGACGTGCCGCGTCATGGGGTTAACCGGGTGCAGCGGTTCCGAGGCAGAGCGGGTGGTAAACACCGGCCGTGCTGCCGGAGTGGGAACAGACACCCCACGAGCAGGCAGGAGCAGGCCTCGCTCCACAGGGGCGGGCTCCACAGCCCGGTAAGCGGCCGGGCCGCGGAAACACCTCACACAACGGCCGCCCGGCGCCCGCAGGGTCGTGGTTCTCCCTCTGCCGGAGGTGCGGCCGCCACCGCCGAGCGCGTCCCCTCTCGCACGCACGAGGGAGCGGAGGGACGGCCAGGCGCGGGCTGCCGGGGGCGAGGGGAAGCCCACGCGGCTGCAGAGAGCCCCCAACGCGCCGGCAGGCGCCGGGCCGAGACGGCCGAGCGCGTCCCCAGCACCGGGACCGGCGCCGGCGGGTGCGCCGCGCAGCCCCAGCGACGCCACGGCCGGCGCTGTCAGACAGGCTCCCAGCCCGAGCGACGCGGTCCGTTACGGCGCTAGTCAGCCCAACTCTTCCAGACTCTTCTCTCGGCCCCAGGAAGGCCCGCGTCCCCCAAGCCTCGACCCCCACGGCCCTCGCACTGGTGGTACCTGGGAGGCTGGCACAGGACTGTCTCCACGTTGTCCCCGGGACCCGGCGGGAGCGAGGGCCGGGCGCCGCATCCTCCCTCTCCGGCTCACCCCGGCGGGCCCGGCCCCGACCCCGACCCCGACCCGGCGCCCGCACGCGGCTGCACAAAGCGCGCCGCCCCGCCGGCCGGGACAAAGCGGGCGGGGGCGCCGGCACCTACCTCGGTGCGGAGCGCCGGCCCGGCAGGCGGGAGCGCGGCGAGCGGGGGCGCACTGGTCGTCACCGCGCCCGCAGCCGGCAGTGAGGGGGCGTTCGGGCGGCGGCGTGGCCGGGCGGCGCGGGCGCGCACAGCGGGCGGCGGGCGGCGCTGTCACGCGGCGTGAGCGGCGGCGGGGGCGCGGGCGGCGGCGGCGCGGCGGCGGGGCGCGTGGCGGGCGGCGCGGCGCGAGCGCGGGGACTGCGGCGCCGCGGAAGGAGGACAATAGCCTCCCCCTGCCACAGGCCGCCGGCTCCCGCGGGAGGCCGGGGACCATCTGGAGCCCGCGGCCCCGCGGGGCTCGGGGCGGGGCCTGCGTCACCCCTTCTCCGCCCGGCGCCATGGCAACCGCGGCCCCTCTCGGCTCTCCCCACAGCTCCCCGGGCCGGGGTCGCTGACGTTCCCCGGGGCGAGGCGGCGGCAGCTCCGCGGCCCGCTCCCGACCCCCCACACCTTCCGCGTGGCTTCCCCCACAACCCCACCTTCCGGTCCTCACTAGCCCCAGGTCACCCCTTGGCCGCCTGGATGTACCCTCACAGCTTGCGGGGCTCGGTATCCCCAGTCTGGACACCCCACCTTTGTCCACCTTTTCGTCCAAAATCTGTATCCGCGGGACACGCAATCCTTCCTTCAATTCACCGCCGAAAAGGTTTCCCGAGGTTCAGCCTCTCTTTCCCTTTTCAAGACCTCCTCTTCGGGCACCTCCAGTCCCTCTCCCTTAAGCGTTTCTCTCATCCGTCCCCTCTCTCTCCCGGCCTCCTTCAGGCAGGTGGGCCGGCTCTCTTTCCCGGAGCGTCTCCATGGTACATGTGCAGATTCGCCTTCTCACAAGCCAGATTCTCAGCTCCTCTCATTTATCAACCAGGAGAATTCCGGCCTAGTCACTGTCTTGAGGGGGGTGGGGGTGGGGGTGGACATTTCTAGGCCTGGCGAGGCTGGGTTTCTCTTTGGTTTATTAGCATCTGAGTGGTCTAAGTTCTAAAGTCATTAGCCAAGGTGAACTCTCTGCTTAGGAGAGGCAGGAATTATGCTCCAATCATAATAACAAACTTGCAGAGTGCCAGGTGGGAGCTAAAAGTGCTTTATCTCACGTCCACCCCACAGCACTCCAGCTGCTATAGGTAGGTAACTGTTCTTCCGTACTAGAAAACTAAGCTCAGAGATGAGCTAGTCATAACAGGGTGGGCTTAGTAGAGAGCTGTTAGGTTCTGTGTTGCCTCTGAAGATGTATACGGCCCATTCCTACCGGAAATGGCCAAGTCAGGGCACTCGAAGAATAAGCTTTGAATGAATTATTGGGCTTAAGGTTTTATAACAGCTTTATGGGTAATTGAATGTAAGGATTTTGCTCCTTTATGGAAAAGATATGCATACTCAAACAGATATATGTAATTGAAGCACTTTTCAGATACGATTTTGGTGAGGTGAAATCGCTTTTGTTAAATGAACTTGAAAACATTTTCAAGGTAAAAAAAAAAAAAAAAATTCCTGCTACTAACCCTAACTAGTTTTGTCATCTCATCTACCTGGCCTCAGTTTTCCTAGTCTATAAAATGGAAGAGGTTGGGGAGTTGCACTAAAAGATTACTCTGAAATTCTCTTCTAGCTCTGATATCTGTGCTTCTACCACTAAACTGGAACTCACCCTTCTGGGGTGCACCTCACAGTTAGCTATAATTAGGCTATTAACTATTATTTTAACACTCACTGTTTCAGGCAACAGAATCAAAGCAGGAACGGCATGAGCTGCAACTCTTCCCAAGGCGGGAGTGTGTGTGGGTAGGTTCAGGCGGAAGGAGGCACCAGTGTGTACTTAGTGGTCCTGGGAGACTTGGTCAGGGACCTTAAAGCTGATGGGGCGAGAATCAGCTGATCCGTCAAGGAAACTAGAGCTACCAAACTGCTGCTGCTGTCCTGGCTATGGAACCAAGGGTCTCAGTGACAGATTATTAGATTATGACCCAATTAGAAGTCAAGGATATTAGGTCTTATGGTTAGCATGATAATTAGCTAATAATATTATTAACATAATAATATCATTAGCACGATAATTAGCATAATGTCTTTTGTAGAGTCATTTTCCATATTCAGCACTTCATAATCCTTCAGAAAGCCTTGTAAGGTAAACATTCTCACTCTCATTTTATTGATGAGCAAGCTGATGTTCAGGCACCTAAGTGAATGCCCAAATTCAGAGAGTTAGCCCATGGTAGACCCTCCAGGTCTTCTGATTCCTGATGCGTTCTTTCTCCTCTGCTAGAGAGAGAATACAGCAGAATGGTTAAAAGCATTGATTTTGGAGTCAGACTCCCTGGGCTTAAAACCTAGTTCTGCCATCTACTGCACATAGTAAGTACTCAACTAGTCAGCCGTTATTATTTTACCATATTATTATTTCGCCATACTGCTTCCCAATTTGGAGAGGACGTGTGCTCAATAAAGAGAACACTGAGATTGCTTGTCTTAGCTCAGCGACTGTGTTGCTTTGGAAACTTGTTATTTTGCTCTGTAGTGAATCAGTATAGTCAATGATGAAGAAAAACACCTGCTTCCTTTTTACTTGAGTTATAAAAGTGAATGGAATGAGGCCGGGCGCAGTGGCTCACGCCTGTAATCCTAGCACTCTGGGAGGCCGAGGCAGGAGGATTGCTCAAGGTCAGGACTTTGAAACCAGCCTGAGCAAGAGCGAGACCCCCGTCTCTACTATAAATACAAAGAAATTAATTGGCCAACTAATATATATACAAAAAATTAGCCAGGCATGGTGACACATGCCTGTTGTCCCAGCTACTCAGGAGGCTGAGGCAGGAGGATTGCTTGAGCCCAGGAGTTTGAGGTTGCTGTGAGCTAGGCTGATGCCACGGCACTCACTCTAGCCTGGGCAACAAAGTGAGACTCTGTCTCAAAAAAAAAAAGTGAATGGAATGATGTCCACCAAGCTTCCCAGAGAATCCACATTTGCTGCTTGTGATACCAAAATTCACAGGAAGGTCTTGGGTCCTGCCATCAAAGCTACAGGCATAGCTGAATTTTCAGCACTTGTTTCTCTACCAGGGAAGTGGTGTCCCTCCTTCCATCTGAGGTGGATTCTTCTGGCTCCTGCTGTAAAAGTCTCAGCCTCTCCGGCAGCCTCATGGCCCTCACTCCTGGTAAAGTCTCTCTCTGCTGGTGCCTTCCCAGGAGGACTTAAACTCAAGTATCTGCCAGCTTGCAAAAATAAGTAAGAAATCCTGCTCCCCTTCACGTATTGCCCTTACTCTTTATGTTCTCAGTCTTCCTGAGCCATTTGCACTCATTGGCTCCACTTCCTTGTCTCCATGCAAACAGTCATTCAAAAACGGAATGGGGTCGGGTTGTGGTTGCTCACGCCTGTAATCCTAGCTCTTGGGAGGCCGAGGCGGGCGGATTGCTCAAGGTCAGGAGTTCAAAACCAGCCTGAGCGAGACCTCGTCTCTACTATAAATAGAAAGAAATTAATTGGCCAACTGATATATATATAAAAAATTAGCTGGGTGTGGTGGCGCATGCCTGTAGTCCCAGCTACTCGGGAGGCTGAGGCAGAAGGATCGCTCGAGCCCAGGAGTTTGAGGTTGCTGTGAGCTAGGCTGACACCACGGCACTCACTCTAGCCTGGACAACAAAGCGAGATTCTGTCTCAAAAAAAAACAAAAAAACAAAAAAACAAAACAAAACAAACAAAAAAAAA